TCTTCCGCAAAAAGTCCCTTCCTACTTTTTTTCCCTCATCACTTCTTTTCTCTGACATAATCAGAGCATTGGCCATAAGCCAGAAATTCAAAGTATTAAGTGTGTTTGTGTGTAAAGGATCTGCAGGAACTACTGGAGGCCAGAGAGCAAGAGTGTGTCAAATTGAGGAGAGAGCTGCAGGAGCTTAAAAACACAGTTTCTCTCAGACGACTACTGACACAAGGTAAGATTTCATCAGACCGTCTGTGAAGGTGCAGACCCTGCTATGTACTAAATGTACTTGAGAGTAAAGTAAACACACAGTCATTAGAGAAATAGTATAATTACATCAAAAGTTCATATAAATAAAATGCCTTAAATGTGTTGACCTTTACATAATAACATACTAAATATCACCCATCCAGTTGCTGTATCGTCTCTTACATGCTGTTTGTAAATGCTTTGTATAGCGCCTTTCTAGACTTTTCAACCACTCAAAGCCCTTTTGCACTACATCGCAGTCACCATTCATACACTAAGCTCAAACAGAAACTTACATTCACACCTCACTTACATTGGCCTGGTTCAGTATCTTGCCCAAGACATGTAGCCTGGAGGAGCCGGGGATTGAACCGCTGACCTTCAGATTATCAACCTCCTGAGCCACAACTGCCCCTTTCAGTTGTTTCAGTTTGTTGATATGTTTTCCCTTTCCAGTTCTCCCATCAGCTTTCACCCCAGAGATGGTCTCCCGTCCATCTCAACCGAAGCCAGCAACAGTCACTGGTTTGCTGGAATGTAGGAAGAGAGATGAAGCCAAGCTCATCAAGAACCTCATCACAGGTGAGATTCATCCCTGTCCCCACCTTCCTCATCTTCATCTGCCATATTTGTTTTATCGGTTATTTGATTTTCCAACTTTTTGAGGAGTTTTACAATTAGAAAGAATCCGAACAGAGTGTACCAGAATCTGCTTTTTAACTTTCAATTGTGTTCAAACCACACAGTTTGCCCCTTTAGAGCATCATTTACCAACCAAACAAACATAAACAAACTCCATATTTAAGTTTCAGTGCATAGAAGCATTTCAACTTATATACAGGAAACATGTAAAAGTAATTTGCACCAGGGCCATAGTAGAAACGTAGATACTCGTAATTTTTGTTGGTAGTATGTCAGTCAGTCTGTGGATTATTTTCACGATAATCAGTCATTTGGTCCATAAAATGTCAGGAAGTAGTGAAAGATGCACATTACATTCCTCAAGCCCTAGCTGATGTCATCAAAACCGTGTTTTGTCCAGGCAACAGTCATCAATTTACTAACAACAACAAATTCTCAGAGATGTGTGGCTGGAACTAGGGAGTTGTTGATCCTTGAAAATGTATTTTAACAATTACTCCATTAACAAAACAGTTGCTTTACAAAGTCATGTCTATGGGATGGTGACACTACAACTTTGTAGTGTTGCCTGTCAGTATGATGTGACTCACAAGAGCAAACTTTTACTGTAACAAACTCACCTATAGCTGACAAATATGACCTGACTGTGTTCGCTCTGCCATTGCTGCTCTCTCTGTCTGCGGTCCAGACATACGTGTTGACAGCGCCCTGTCTCTACCTCCTGGTCTGCTTGCCAGCGTGCTCTTCCTGTGTGTTCGTCAGGCCGACTGCAGCGGAGACCACACTCAGGCTCGCTCACTCTGTTGTGCTGCTGTCAAGGCTATGAAGGCAGCTCTGAAGGTAACCTGAGTTCTGAATCTGCCCGGTGTACCATATGGTGGAGGTTTCATGCATATGAGGGCAGATCACCTCATGTCTGATGCCACTTACAGAGAAGCATCAACAACTGACTTTGAAACACTTTCATGTGATTGCTCTGTCCTACATCTGTCCAGAAGAAAGTAAACCACACCGAAGCCCATATACCCATATCTCTCTCACACACATACATATTGACCATATATATGATAGCACTCCAAGTAACAATATAACCTTTTTCCATTTTATCTGTCCCAGCAGAAACATAGTAACGATCTAGGCATGACAGCTCTATGGCTGAAAAACGCCTGTCTGTTGCACGACCTGTTGAACCAGTACTCCCCAAAACAGGTAGGATGAACATGTATTTATAATTACTAACATCCTATTGACGGAGAGCATTTTTGTCACTAAAAACAGTGAAATAACGAAAATCATAGTCTTCTCAATAAATTTTCCCCATCTTGCACATCTAGATGAATATAGTTTATAGAAGATAATCTTTGGAGTAGTTAGGGAGTCATTGATTACTGACATAGAAACAATCTCAATACATTTTACTCTATGAATATATGACTGCATCGATTACTTTTCAGACCCTTGACTCAGATGATCTGGTTCCACTGACCACTGATCTGAGTGACCTGATCCGCGCCCTGAGTGACCTCTGTATCCAGGCCTATCAGCAGCTCCTCTCCATCACTGAAGCACATCTACAAAACATCATAGGTTTGATGCTGATGCTATCCATGCTCTCCCCACCACTGCTCCTCTTATCTTACCTCCTGCTTCCCTCTCTCCCTCAGTCCCCGCTCTGCTGGAGAGTGAGACCATCCCAGGTCTGTCTGGCACTGCGGTAAAGTTGGGAACGTCCAGAAAACGGGCAGGCTCAGACCCCAGGACTGTGGGAGGCGATGCTCCCACTATGGCGACTGTGCTGAGAGAGCTGGCAGCCCTTCACACTGCTTTGACCCATCAGGCTCTGCCCCAGACACAGATGGAGCAGGCCTTCCACCAGCTCACCTACATCATCGCTGCCTCCGCTCTCAACAGCCTGCTGCTGAGGAAAGATATATGCTGCTGGAGCCGTGGCATGCAAATACGGTAGAAATATACACATAGATTTAGATACTATAAGCAAAAATATTTCATATCATGTTATGGTATGCAATTTGCAAATGCGCTATACATGCCATGACATGATATGTTCATTAAATTTATTTTTAAAAAATTTCTATACTGCTAATACCAGGGAGCTTTGTCTTTAATATCTAATTTGTCAGGTATTTAATTTACTTCTCCCTAATCTGCCCACTACAGCTGTACTAGGGCCTCATTTCTAAACCTTGCCTATGCGCAAAAGAAGGCATACACCATTTTCTGGGCAAACTTTGGGATTTATAAAAAACACAAATGACAGGAGAATTCATATGCACATAAACCGGTTGCAGAAGGATGCTTCACTTGGGCTAACCTTGGATGGTGTGGAATTCAGAGACAGGAGTTTTTTTTTGGTTGGGAAGGCACCAAGTGTACAAGGAAAAAACACGATTTAAACTTTATTTTTAATGTAATATTATGTATTGTCATTAAATAAAATTTTTATTTAACTTAATTTTTAACAGAATGTAATATAAAAGTTGTGACAGATTAATTTTCTATAGATTAATCAACACATTGCTGTCTGTATAATGTAATACAACAGTACAAACTACAGTCTACAAAATGACCATAATAATAACATTAATATCTAGATTATTTATTAACCAGCCTGTTTCTCTTGTCACTAAGCTATAATGTGAGTCTGCTGGAGGAGTGGCTGCGGAGCAAAGGTCTGCAGGCTGGGGGCGCTGTGGCCACACTGGAGCCCCTCATCCAGGCAGTTCAGCTGCTGCAGGCTGGGAAAAAGACCGAGGCGGACGCACAGGCGCTTGTCCGCACCTGCACTGCCCTGTCCAGCCAGCAGGTGGGTCTCTGTCTGTCTCAATCATACTTGAAGACAGGAAAAACCTATTGATGTGCATTAAACCGCCTGCTTGTTTCCGTTTTGATTAACAGATTGTGAAGATTCTGACCCTCTACACTCCCCACAGTGACCTGGATGAAAGAGTCACACTGAATTTCATCCGTACTGTGCAGGTACAACAGCTGCAAGGTTGCATGTGTTCATCAATTTAAAGTAGTGTCTCATGTGAGTTGCATGTATTTGCTCTTCTAGGGGCTTCTCAAAGGCCGTGCTGACAGTCAGCCTCCACAGCTCCTAATGGATGTGAGGCGAGTGTTCCCTGTCACATTTCCCTTCTCGCCTCCCCCCGCCCTCCATGCTGAGAAGTTAGTCATCCCAGACTCCCTCAAGATTTCCTTTCTACGCAGAGCCTAAAAAAACGTGGGATGCCTTGCTTTTTCAGTGTAGCAAATGCAAATTGTGATGTTTTAGCAAATTCAACTTCCAACCTATTAAGTCATTTGACATTTAAATAACTTCCAGGAGGTGTTGTGAACTTACTTCCTCTAAGATTATATAGTCTGTACAGACTACCATTGTAAATCAGAGGTTATGGCAAACCTTTACATTTCAGCTAATTAACTGGTGAGTTTGAAATGGCTAATAAAGAGCAGGAAGATAAAGTATTTCTTTAAAAACATATTAGTACAGTTTGACAAACAAGGAACGAAATGGAGCTTTTTTTTTTGTCATATTTTATTGGAAGCAGAAACACAACGAGACTGCAGTCCGAGTAACCTCAACCCCCAATAACCAGAATAAAAAAAACCCAAAAATTAGAAACATCTCATGTATAAAAAAATTCTCATGCGAGTACTTTGTACCACTACACATCATCAGTAATACATATTTATATATTCACAAACATTTGAAAAATAGAAAACAATAATAGAATATCAAAATAAAGGAGACAACAATTGGCAATTAACATCAAATAATTATGCGTGCTGGCACAATACATTTTTTCTTTTTGTTTTATTGTTCCTATCATGCACCATTTTCTGGAAGTACAGGACCGGCGTCGCTGCGCAGCTGTCTGTCTGCGTGGCCGGGTCAGCTCGACAGAACAGATCATGCATGTCTGCCCGCTTTGTGTCTGTGTGCTTTCATTGTGCTTCTACATTTATCCTTGTCCTTCACTTCTGTGTGCATCCCTGTTCTGCATGCCAGTCCGATACCCCAACACGCAAACTGAGCCTCTGAAGGAGGAGGAATTACTAAAGTATCATTGTCAACAGCAATAAATAAAGATTTGTTTTCGTGGCATTTCCAGCTATGTGACAGTTGTGAACCTTTTATTCAAAGTTATTAAAAGTCTGTGCAGATGTCTCCTTGAATAACAGACCTTGTACACACCAAAGAGTGACACATGTTTCAATTTTGTTTAGTTAATGGGTTTCCTTTATATAGTCTATATAATGGTATATAATGTCAGTGTAAAATGAATTGGCTCTCAAGCCCATTAAATGATTAGATTTGTGCAAATTGCTTGTTATTCATCTCCAGTGTGTACACGGCCTTCCCATATATTTCAATAATAGCTACATATCCAGATTGGGCATCCACACACACATAATACCCAACTGCCCAATCTCCCAGAGCTAAAAATTCAAGTCTACAAAAGAGCAGCAAACTTCACTTCACATAGTCTGACATGTGTTTGTTACATCCGAGCTATTTACAATGCCCAAACCAAACAACAATCGAGCTTTCCCCTCCAGATTATTGTCCAGATTGATGAAAAGCTGTACAAACAACTTTCAATCGCTAATCAGCTCTACTACAGCTGGGGTGTTTGGCCCTTTATAATAGAGATAGCATTTTACAACATATCAGACAAACACTTGTGCTGATATAATAAGAAAAATAATCCACAATGTAAACATTATAAGACTGCTTCAAAAATGACTCATCTACGAATATTTTTATAGATTAGATGCATAGAGTTCAGTTCTTACACCTTATTCATAAGAGGGGGTCGGTTCAATTTGTAATGTACGATCAAGCGGTAGTCTGGTAGAGGCCTTCAGCAGAGGCAACTTAAAAAAGAGGCAGAAATAGAAAAAACAGAACATCCTGTCATTATTGAACTTGGACATTTCCTCGCCCTGGATGCCTTTTTTGTTACATACACACATATTCTAGAACCGCTTAATCTTTTTAACAAAATGGGCATTCATGAAAATAAAAATTGAATTAGGAGACATGCTGGGCAGTCAATAGACTATTCAGAACATTTTTTTTCATATGAAATTGACTCTAGATTAAAGAAATAAATGTAAGTATGATGATTTGACATCTTGGTGTGTAATTCAGATCAGAGTATAAATGTGTAATTATTGGTGCATTAAAGACCCTGTGCTTCTAAATCTTCATACTACATCTCTAAACTGTAGGTCCTCTTTTAAACGTCAGCGCCAGACCTGGTGTGGTCTGGATCTGCATCCCTTTTGTAGCGGTCTGACTTCTCGCTACCAGGGATCAGGGTTACTGCATCTGCAACCGGATCATTAGGGATCACGGGTGGTAGATCATTAGTGATTTGTGCTCTCCCTGAGGTGCAGGGTGTGTGTTATTGTAACCCACGTAGATATATTACCTCAGACGATGTTGCTTTTGCAAAATAGGATCTTGAGGACAAGTTTTTATCATCCTCTTACATGCAGGTTTTGATTTGGCATGTTGTTGTTTTTTAAGAAGAGGAGGTGGCAGTCAAGTGTTCATCCTTTTATCATGCACCTCTTGCACATCCATTATTGGGCTGTCTAGCTGCGGAATGTTTACAGTAAGACAAAAAAGACAGAAATATCCATCATAAGATGGAAGACGCATCCTCTTTAAAGTAAAAAATATGAACACCTGTGATGCTCTTTGCTTGTGATGGCTTCCTGTGATTACATTTGCAGGTAACAGGCAACACGGGCGGCTACATGAGGTCAACATGAGAACATCTTACAAAACACTCACACATGCTCAAACGTTGATTATACATTCACACTTGGACACGATCATTCTCACACACACATATAGTCTGATGAATCACAGTGCTTGAAGGCGTGTTTTCATCAGATTAATCTCTTTATACAGTCGCTGTATAGGAGACAGACACACTGTACGAGGGTCAACAAGACAGAAGGCATTGAGGGTGTCAGGCAGTGTGCTCTGTTACAGGGTAGACGGACATAAAGACAGACAAAGGCAATCTTTCAAGTACCGAACGTCCATTGAATAATCCTGCATATGTCCTTCATATATTATAGATTATGATATATATAGAATGATTTAAATATAAATATAATTTGGCAGAAAGCAGTAAATAAATATTAATACTATCATAACTAAATAGTGCTTTGTTCCCAATATGCCATGTCCCTACCCGAAACCTGGAATGTTTGAGGCCGTATAGCCGTTTTGTTGTTGTTAATAGGTCAGTTGGACAATTGGTCCTGTTGTGCTCATGGCTGGTCTTGGCATATTTCAGAGATTATGTGTCGGCACTTGCGGTCCCTTCCCTGTGCGGGTGCACAGACAGACAAGGGGCGAGAGGAACTGGAAAGCATGAGGGGTAAGAGGCTGAGAAAAGAAATGGAAAATATTAAAAGGCTACAAGGTATTTCTTTCACCTTAACCAGTCAACCGAGGTGTGTGTGTGTGTGTGTGTGTGTGTGTGTGTGTGTGTGTGTGTGTGTGTGTATGTGGAGTGGAATGGTATGACTCACCTCTACGGATAGAGGATATATGCTCTATAATTAAACTCTATGCATTGTTCATCAAAAGGATGGCTGATCATTTCTGCAACAATAAAGACATTGGTGCTTTTTGAATACAATTAGTGATGACTTGTTTAGCACTATGTCTTTTCCCACTGAAATGAATGTATTTACAGCACTGGATGTGTGGTGACTGTTGTCGTATCTGTGCTTTTACAACACTGGATCATCAGGGCAGTGGCTAGCAGTGGCTCAGCAGAGCCAGGGCAGTAGGTGGCGATGTCTGATCGAGCTTCAGACGGATCGTTTTCAATTCTGTCATGTCTCTTAGCTGCGGCCCTCCTCTGCAGAGCGCTGGTCAGACTTGAGCTTGACGAACTCTTTGGCGACGTCGTCGTTGTTGCGTTGGGAGAGGATTCGCAGGACGGTGAGGCCCGTCTCGTCCATGTGGATGCGTTTACCCAGAGGCAGCCAGCAGGCGACGCTGCCTTTGGAGGCCATGTCCTTCAGCTGCAGGACGGCCATACCCACGGTGCGGTCCTCCCGCGCGAAACAGTAGTCCTTCACACACACCTGCAGCTCATAGCATTCAGGGCCCACCTCGTTACTCAGGGTGCTGCAGTGGGGAGGATAGAGGAGTTAACAACTACCTCTTCTGTCATTATTTACAGCCTTATAATAAAACAACCAATCGTCATCAAACTCACAAAGTAAAGGTTTCATTGTATTTTGGAGCCCAGCTGTTGTTCTTCGACTTGGTGGCGTACTTTCTCTTCTTGTCGCTGAGGTGAGGGCCGATGATGTAGACCTCCACAAATGGCCGGAATATTCCCTGTGTCTGCCACCTCAGGTCATTGGCAGCCACCACTGAGAGAGAGAGAGATGGAGAGAGAGGAAGTGAAAGGACAGACAGTGGGAAGTTGTGGGTGAGAGAGAGACAGAGAGAAAGATTCATGTGGAGAAAATGTGTGAAAAGGGAAAAAAAAGTGTGAGTGAAGAGAAAATTCAGAACAAGAAAATACTGGCTCTCCATCATGTCTCTTATTCAGTTCCCTGTTAAGATAGTGAAAGGGGGAGAGTTGGGATTTTATTTCATTACAAAGTCATATTTGTCTTTGGCAGCTGAAAAGCCGATCACCATTTAACTAACTATTTGACTTCTAAAACCAACTGGCTGCTCCAGTGATGACTTAGGTGTGATGTATTGAAGGTGAAGACTTAGGCAAACATTTTATATTGGTAATGAATGCAGATCACTTTGTCTTTTTCTGTTGATCAGTGTCAAAAAAGAAGCCACATTAAATCTACTTTGATCAAATAAAACTTGACATTATCAAAGGGGGATGAGTACTTTTTGTAGGTTTTGAAAAGTAGTAGTAGTAACTGTCTTTAAAGGTAGAAAATAATATTCACTGAGCTTTCTCTTCATGAAAATATTCAAAAAATGATTAAAGCTGGGTGGTGACTAGTTTGTCTGACTGATCGTTTGACACCCAAATCAAGGTCTACATGCTAGCTTTTTCTACAGCTTTCAACCTCATCACATGCTCCTCATCAGTGGATCGAGTTTGAACTATTTCGAGTGTCAAGAATAAACTCTCCTGCTTATTGATCCGTGGCTTGATTTCCACAGGAGAAAACAAGAAAGAAAACCTTTCCATTACCTTTCACTGTGACCTTGTGCTCTCCGGTGTTTGGGTGAGTGAAAATCTCCACATGGATGGACACCTCTCCCACGGCATCGTCCACCCCAGCACCTGACAGGACAGACAGAGAGTGAGGGGCACGTTAATGCCTTTGAATTTGAAAACATTGGACTCCTCCATGCTCCTATCGCAGACCAAACACTCACACAAACCACTGTGCACTCTGTTCCAAATTCTCCCCCTCCTTGTGAAAGGTTACAGACCAATTCTATTTCAATTTTATAAACTGAAGATTGAAATGGATCTGGCTCTAACCTTTTGGATATCACACAAGGCAAACACATCTTAATGCTAAACTAATCACTATGTAACAGGAGGACTTCAAATAAGGCATAGAGATCTGCATGTGCATATGTTGTGGTCTGGAAGTGGACAGTCAGACAAAGCTGCTATGAGTGGGCGTAAGTGTTTTAATATAGGTAGCACTGTCATTCTCTGAAATGCAGTAAAGCATCTCACAACAACTCTATCATTAGGTACAAAAATATGTTTATATTTATTAATATTTTTGTACCTACTGACCAGAAATATCTGTATCTGCATTATCATTAGGACTGACTGAACAGCCTTTGTAGAGATTCAGCAATTGAGAGGTAATAATTTGGATCCAGTGAGGACAGTAATTTGTGCCCACTCATAGAGCAAGGCGTCTGTTAGGATGCATGGTGATTAGTAAGAGGCAGAGAAGAAGACAGGAGAGAAGCTGGAGAAGGTCAACTGACAGTGTTTCCCCCCCGACGTAGATCGGGTCAGGACATGCTCAGATGGATCGAGACAGGTGGACACACCCATTCCTTGGTAAAGACTTTTACCCAAGCATGGTAAGAGGAGGGACGAGAAAGAGGAAGGAGCTTACGGAGAGAGAAGCAGTTCAGCTGCTCAGATCCGTCTGTGACGGATGGCACTACTGATGACCCAACTCCCTGAATAAAGCTGTACTGTGTAAAGAGGCAGTGAATTATGTGATTGTGTAAATTAACTATTGCTGTTTTATCTAAATTGGACATTACTGCATTTCCAAAGAGAAAATGAAAGTCCAAGGACTGTTGCACAGGTTGTAAAACCAAATTGATGATTTGTGATTGGGAGTCAAATTTTACTTAAAATATTCTAATTAAGATATCAAGGATTGCAAATGGTTAAAGTCAGAGGTTTCTTACCAAATGGATTTGAGCCCCTCATCCAAGATAACAACTCTGGACCTGGGCCCAAGTTCAGGTCTTGGGGTCTTTGGCTCCATACTTGTAGCTATAAGACTATTTTAGGGTAAAGATGACAGTGATGGCTCCATTCAGGCTTCACTTCTTTTGTCTGGGAGGGAGATGGCGGACAAATCTGGTTTTGGGCTGCATGTGAACAAGTGGTTGAGATCCATATACAATTCCAGAAGGATACGGTGACAGATGGACATTCATTTTCAATGTTTTAATTAGTGTCCTCACTCCGTCAACGGTATCTTTGTGGCGACGACCAGCAGCCTGTGTGTGTGTGTGTTTTCAATCAGCTGCCCACTAAACAAGGTGTCTGTGGGAGTTAGACGGCAGAGTGTTCCTGGCATGCAGCTCTCTACATCTCTCCAGGGAGCATTATGGGATTGTTGGTCTCGCTGCCAATAGGACCAAAGAGAACAGCAGTCATCCATCTGGCCTTGTCTACTCTGTGGAGGACGTCCATGAAAGATGAGAAAGAAACTTTGCTGGCTAGGAGGCAGGGAGATGTTGCCATGATAACGCAGGCTTTTCTTCTTCAATCAACACTGCAATCAGAGGTGCAAATTTGGTACCATATTGCAAATTTTTACCAGAATAGCCGTTAAATCTCATAACTTGTACTGTGACCGTGCCAAAGCATCACCCGAGCTCACGGCATATTCACAAATGACGGTTGATGGTTTCAATAGCAAATAATGCAGCTCACAGCCCGCAGCATGTAAGAGCCATTACGGATCAGCAGCAGTTGAGTTCATAAGAATAAATTCCACTGAGCTTTCGTTCAGTCATCCTGCTCTAATCGTCTACTCTAATATGTTTGGAAGAACTATCCAGTGAAATCTGCTTGGCGGGAAGTTAATTTGCATCCTCGTTACAGGTAAGGTCATCTAGCAGCTGGCGGGAAGGCTAAAGATTTTTTGTTTTCTATATATACCTCCACTGTGGAAGGAAAGAAAGACCATAAGAATTTGAATTTCATAAGCAACTAGATACATAATTGTGAAAGTTTTTCACTACTGAAAACTTACTGTTGACATTTAAATAACACTGAGTGGATAGTAATTAAATGTTTTACTTTGAAAATTTCTAGTTATTATATCTTTGCTTCCATACTTTCCTCCTTGGCTTCTGCCCATAGGAAAATAGCAGTTATGTGATATATAGTCTCTCTGGAACCTTAACCATTTTACATGAGAGGACTCCATTTATCTGAGAGGACTGTCAGGGTGCCGGAGTTTGTACAGCATCAATTGTATTGAGACAGTGAAGCGAAGTCAGTGCACAAACACTGAGTTAGCTGAATGCATACAGCTCCTGCATCATCCTGCGTCAGTGTTTGTGAGCAAGAGTCAGATCTTTTAAAAACTAACCTAAAGTGACAGAAATCAGACCACCTGACCTGTGAGACTGTTTCTGATTGGCTCAATCTGTGGAGGGGGGATGAGTTGGGCACCCTTTCTCATCATTGCTGTAGGGAGGGCCATGCTGCACGTGGGAGCTGTGTGTGTGTGTGTGTGTGTGTTTGTATGTGTCCGCCTCTGTCCATGTTTGTGTGCGATGATAGAGCAGGCAAGGACAGGGAGCCCTCCCAGACAAAATGAGCCAACAGCCATCATCATCTTCACAATAATCCCAGTTTTCTTCATCAGCGTCTTTCATTTCAAACACAGTGGGAGGGGTGATAATGTGGGGGAAAAGGATTTACTCTGTTTTTCTCGCTGAAGACAAACAGTATACTGAAACACTGTGCTTCTGCTTCAACAACCCTAAGGACAGTCTCAGCCCACGCGTGCACACCCACACACACCCACACACACCCACACACACACACACACACAGCCCTCGGGCCTCTCACGGTGTCATCATGCTGGATCAGGATTCCTCTGCACTTTAATGCATTTCTCTTCTATTTGTCTGATGTCATGCTTTAGTTTCTGCTCATACATACAGTCTATGGCGTATGTATTCAGCGCAGTTCGGGACATACAGACATCAGTGTGTACATTACATGCATGAATGCATAACGTCTATGTTCTCGTTGTTGTGGTGGGCACGTACAATATGTGTGTGTGCAAATATGCAGAGATAGAGAGAAAAAAGACAGGAAGTATGTTCAATCTGAACATTGCATTTATCTGTTGGGATGACTTTGAGCAGGCAGGGGAGTTTCAGGATGCACATGGGGGGTGTAGGGTGGAAGGTGGAGGGAGTTGGGCTTTGGTCTGTAGGATTTCTGGTAGTCCTGGATGTCTCAGGCCCTGAGCCTGAGTGCCACATACCCTTGTCTGGGTAAACATCCTCACTAGTGGTGAACCTCACCCCCTTCCCGCCGAACACTGGCCCACAGACGGGACAGAAGGAGGGAGTAGACAGAGAAAGGAAAAACACGTAGAAATATGAGGTTTGCAGAGGTTGAATTTAAGAATTACAAAGTAGCAAAACAGACCAACATGTATGAGTCTTGTCCCTAAAGATGGGAGAGATCCTGATTTTTATCATATCAGCCCTTTTTAAAAATCCTTCTGATCTGCTGTGCCCACACAGAACTACTGCTGTAAAATGTACTTATGTATGCTCCAAGAACCATGCGACATTTTGCTAATTAACTATCATCCACTAAAATGGCATTCCTATCAGCGGTGCTCAGGGACAATGTGTCAGCATCAGCGCTTCCACAGAGATGATGACTGCTATGTAGCCATCTGACGGTGGGATAGAGGCTGAGCAGCAGAATCAAAGAGCGAGAGAAAAGAGGGGGTGGATATTTATTTTTTTCATTGTAAATAGCTGTCAGATCATGTAAAAAATAATCTCTGTGTTTCCAGAGGCTGGCTACCAGGAGACTCAGCATTTCAGAGTAGAGAGAAAATATTGTGCGGCTACAGCTACTTCATGCTCTACAAAGCATGTGAGGTATTTTCAAGATATAGAGCTCAGCATTTAGGAAACCCTAACATCAACATTCTCAGAGAGAGTAAAGCAAAAAACAAACAAACATGGATACAATGATCTCAAAAAGAGAATTAAGTAACATTAGAAATGAACTTTCAATACTGGAAATAAAGAGAATCAAAAGTCAGAGAAAGGGAAGAGTGTCACAGAGAGTAAAGACCATTTGGTTACCTTGTGCGTTCTGTGACTGGACAAAGGTCCTAATGAGTTTGTCCGTAGCCTGCGTGTAGAGAGACAGGGCGTAGTGGAGAGACTGGAGGTCAGGACTCTTCTCCAGGAAAGTCTTCTTCAGACCGACACCACCAGCATGGAAATATTGCTAACATACACATAGACAAAACAGAGGCCAGCTGTTAACTTACTTCCCAATGTGGGAATTAGCTGATTTTCCTTCTCTTACATTACAGTAAATTAAATATTCTTGGGTTTTGGACATTTTATAACTTCACCTTGGGCTCTAGGAGATTATTATGGGCATTTTTCACTGTTTTCATATGTTTTATAGACCAAATGATTCATCACATAAAGGGGTAATATGTAGTTTTCAGCGGCCACTAGTGGTATGGTTTGAAGATGTTTTATTTTTTATTTAACCTTTATTTAACCAGATAATCTCATTGAGATTTAAAACCTCTTTCTCAAGATAGATAGAAAATAGCAGCATATTGACAGTTACAAATACGAACACCAAGCACACACAGTCTCCTCCTGGTTTTCCATGAAAAACAGGCTCTGTTTCTAAAATAAAATCCTATTTTTAGTTTGAGCTTTTGTACTAGTTTATCAATGTGCAATTTAAAAGAGAGCTGATCATCAATTAATATACCCAAATATTTGTACAATTGGAGTTGTTTGATCTGCTCACCATTTATTGTAAAAATACTTGGAAGACTGTCCAGAGACTTTGAAATTTAGAAAAAATTATAATCTTAGTTTCCTCAACATTCAAAACTGGCTTAAGCTGATACAGTTGTACCTGAAAAATGTTAAAAGCAGATTGTAAATAAGAAAAAGCTTGATATAAAGTAGCAGCCTTACAATAAATAACTGTATCAACAGCATAAAAATGGAAATGAGCCTGTGGGATGTCTTGACCCAAGTTATTAATATAAATAGTAAATACAATTGGACCCAAGACTGATCCTTGCGGTACACCACTAGATACATTCAGTGCCGTTGATTTGAGGTTGTCAAAATAAACACACTGAGTTCTGTCTGCCAAATAGTTGGTCCAGTCGACAGTATGGTCAGAAAAACCAATGACCGTAGCATTTCCAGTAAAATGCAACGATCATCTCTATGAAATGCTTTTGATAAATCTATAAAAAGAGCTACACAGGTGTTCTTGCAGTACATTGGTTCAATAATATCATTAATGACCTTCATTGTAGTAGTAGTACTGTGCTGCCTTCAAATCCCAGACTGTAAGTCAGACAAAATATGTTGGAAACCAAATAGTCCTTTAACTGATCACCAACCAGTGTTTCTAAAACTTTAGCTAAAACTGGTAACTTGGAAATCAGTCTATAATTATCCAAAAGTGAGGAATCACCTCCCTTTAAAAGAGGGTTTACATAGGCTGATTTCCAAATTATTGGAATCTCATTGTTGACCAGAGTGATGTTGAAAATGATTGAAAATGGTTTAGCAATAAAATCAGCAGCTATTTGCAAAAAATAAGGCTCTAGACTATCAGGACCAGGAGATTTACTGGGGTCCAAAGCAATGAGATCTGTCTGCACATGTGCGACAGAGGAAGGCGTTCGGCCTCTTTACTCGCCATAGATTTCGGGGGCAGTCCTGAAGAATTTAAGCAGTTTGTCACGGTTGAATTACTTGCAAGGAGCTGGCGCTAAAACAAGGAACCAGCTTCCACAAAGTGCTTATTAAAACACTCCAGCATTGCAGACTTTTCTGATATGACAGCTTTGTCATTGATAATACATGGAGGTAATTAATAATGAGAATTTAAAGTGCCAACTGATTTCAGTGCTTTCCAGAATTTCCGGGGATTGTTTAGGTTTTCTGTGGCACCTTTTTAAGAAAAAAGGTGCAGAAATTGCGCAGCTGTCTAAAACGGAGCCAGTCTGAATCTGTCCCAGAGTGCCTGGCTTTAGCCCAGGCTTGGTTTCTCTGCCAAAGAAGATTAGCCTGCTGCAGGGTAAACCATGCGTTATCCCGTCCCTTTACTCTTAACCTCTGGAAGGGAGAATGCTTGTCCACAATTCTAATAAAACCATCATAAAAAAAATTCCAAGCTAGCTCCACATTTTCAATAAGTGCAATTCAGTCCCAGACAAGGTAAGATAAATCATGCAAAAATGCTTGCTCACAGAAGTGCCTCAAATTTTGTTTAAAGATTATTCTAGGTTTAGTCTTAGGGAGCTTGGTATTTCTCACTGCTGTAATAACACAGTGATCACTTAAATCATTAACAAACACATCTACATCTGAATATCTATGAGGCGTGTGTGTTGAAAACAGGTCAATAAGAGTAGATTTGTTAGGATTTTTGATATTACGTCTAGTGGGACTATTTATTATCTGTATAAGATTTAAATTTGCTCCAAATTTGGTGTCGATCAGCCATTCCAAAGCGAAGATATGACATCATTTCCTGTTAGTAGCGTTTTTTGCAAACGTTTGCTAGCACATAATTGCGACATTTTTTGTCGGATCAAAATTTCCTCTACAAACTTTCATCAGCTTGGTCCAGAGATTATCCGTGCCAAGTTTAGTGTCGATCGGACTTGCAGCTTCGGAGTAGTTAATTAAAATAGGTTTTTCAGTTTTTGCGATGTAGTGAAAAAAGAGTCAGGCGAAAATGGGCGGGGCCTATACCACAAGATTCAGCTTGATCCCCCGAACGCATGAATATAAGGTTTTTGATATCTGCCTTCGTAGGTGGGAGTTCCAAGCTCAAATGCGTTGACCTTGCTTATAGCGCCCCCTAGAGGTAGAAGTGTGCGGATTTTTGCGCCTGAGTCACGTGCAGTGAACTGGACCTACCCTAGGAGTTTCGCGTCCCTAGCAGTTACCATCTAGGCCGCAGTATGAGTTTTATGCACGGAAGAATAAAAATAAAAAAATAATAATAATTAAATAAAAAATAAAATTGAGAACGAAAACAATAGTGTTCCCAGCTGCTTTGCTGGTACTGGGAACCGCGATGCCTTGCATTCGCGGGTTCCCAGCCCACTTCGGGTTTGGACCCCTAATAACAAAACTAAAACTTTCACTCCAATCATTCAGTGTTCACACTACCAAACAAAGTGCGTGCTGTCATGCGTGCTGACATCTTTGGTTGAATTGAAGACTGCAACCAGGTGTGTGCTCGTGCACGTGCTCGGCTTAAACTCATGAGCGAGCATAATCCGAAACACAACTGCTTTCATACAGAGACCCTGCAATAAACGTGGAAACACCGGCATGCGGCTGTGGCTTTTCTCCAGACATGCTCAGACTCTTGTTACTTCAACGTTCCCGGCTCAGAGGCAGATCAACACCAGCTCCGTACCTTTCATTTAGCACAGCGAGCAGGCATATTGACACAATAACATGCTGAAAACTCAGGTAAACTGCAAAGTTACAGCAATATTTTTATCAGCTTGAGGTTGACTAATCCATGCTCGTTACATGACAACGTTACACTGACTGCATTTAGCCGACATGATACATCAGTGTTAGCTAGGCTAGCTGCTTTTCGGTAACTAACATTATTTGCTTATTTCACCGGAGGCTCAGCAATGATAGCACAGCTAACTTACATGTATTGGATGATAACGAAACAGTTAGTGAACTAGACTTCATATATATATATATAATATTATAAATTAGATTGTTGGCACACTTTATAACAGTTAGACCGTAGTAATTAACTTTACTGTGATGTTAGCAGATGGGTCTTTCTCTGTGTTGTTGTCACCTTTTTGTTGCATTATTGTATATCATGTGGGTCACGTAAGTTACAGTGACTGAGAGGTGGAGAAGCTATGTACTTGAATATTGGTAAAACAACATTAAGTCTAAATTGAAGGTTACGAAGCAACGATACCTGGCTTCCCCTGATTTGCATCACTATAAAGTTAGGCTAGGCTCCACATTTACTTTGTACCCTTACATCATTTCTTGCAGGATAAAATCAAAACTTTGACACAATACCGGGGTACAAAGGATAGTTAAATGGGTTGTGTTAGTTGGTGAAGAAATGTAGAAAGCCATAATGTTACAACTATAGTAGGCTATAGTGTACTGGACAACATTAGCAACTGGTGAGCATTAGTTGGTGCGCTAACAATCAGCCTTTCTTATGGTGACTGTTTTCACCCGACATAATCTGATTCTTGTGTGGTCTCATGGGCTTCTGCACATAAACCTTTACTGTTGTTTTTTATCCTTATGTGGAGTTTGTGTTGGTAAAAGAGATGCTTTTTGATTTAAATGTCCACTTTTTAACTTGTCTTATTCACAATTAATAACTGTTAATTGCTTTCTTTACCTATTTTTTTTTTACTTTCTGGTCCAATCTCTGGGTTTTAAGCTTGTTTGGTCTTGACTTGAAAAATAGGTGCAAGTGGCAAACATTCACTTACACGTCTCGATTCCACAGTCATCAATGATTTTATTTTTAGTAGTATTTTTAAATGTTTTTCAATAAATGTTTCGCCAAGTCTATCACTTGTATTCCTACACACACACACACACACATATATATATATATGAAAGAACGGTGATTCTAAATTGAGTTTTCTATAACTTAAATTAATAAATCTCTCTTTAATGACAAAAAGAAAGCCCAATGTCTTACAAGTTGGGCTATTATACACCACGTCCTTGTAGACCACATCTAAAATGCAAATTTGACTTGTATAACCAAAGCATATACTGTAATTTACTGTAATTTTCACTGTCATACTGGTAAATTGTCAACGTTTAATGTTGCTCCTAACAGTGAAAGTCTGTTACCTTGATGGTGTCCAGGGCCAGTTCTATCACAGCGCACTGCTTAGGTGTGAGTGCTTTGGCCTCCTCACGAACCATGTGCTCCTGAAAAGGACAACAATAGAAGCACAGACCAAAATGACGGTCCATTAATAGGTCCAGTGTCATATTTTCTAAGCAATTAGTCTTAATCTGAAGCACTGATCCCAGGCCCAGAACACAATGGTGTAAAAACATATTGCACCTTGAGCTTGGACAGCTGTCCCAGCTCCTTGGCAGCATTAAAGATGAGCTGAGTGCCCTGGAAGAGACAGAAAGAGAGGAAGATAGAGAAAGACAGAAGGAGAGAGAAGAGTCGTGTTATTATCATGACAATGCAGGGAAGCAGTAAACGGCTTAGTGTCACACAGAGGACAGCGACGTTTCTGACACACACATTCATAAACAGTCACTCTAAGCCGCTTTACAGATGTCAAGGTACTTTTTCCTTCAAGTGCTGTTATCACACTTATCTGTGTTTTATCCATTCCAAAACATTACACTCGGCTCTGCTGCACAAATCCACACACACACACACACACACACACACACACACACACACACACACACACATTTCAGTACGAAGAGAAGGGAAAGTGGCTCAGCTCGTAGTGAGGGCAAGAGAAAGAAGACATACTCATGCACTCATAAACACACACGTGCAGGTTCACACATTACACACACGTAGCAGCTATGCAGTTGCACTGTGGTGTACGCAGGTATTTACTGGAAGTCCAGCTTAATGCATACTCTGGTAAGAGAATACATCATCATATTTCTAACTGCTGCTGACTGCACCTTTAAATCCAATCTTTGGTTACAGCCCTAGACATGAAATATGCTTTTATTACATACTGTGTGGGGCTAGAACCTATTGAAGCTTTAATAATCTTATAAACATCATCACAAGAATGCCATAAAATGAAACCAAACACATACATGAGTTTCTGCGCATAACAGATTTGTTATATTAGAAAATGTACAATAGGGTGCACTCTTTAGTGCACTCTTTAAACTGTGATGTGTCTAATCATTTAAGCTGTGCAGGTAAACAGTGCCTGAGACAGGTTCATGTGAGAGTAATCCAGCCACCCTCCACTCCTACACTATGTTAAACTGATGAAAAATAAGGTAGACATACATGTGCCTTTTGTTGCAAGGGCGGCAGTGAGGAAAATAAATATTCTGACCCTATGAGCAGACCACAAGTCAGAGTGCCAACCATCACTCGCTCGCAGCTTTGCCTCATGAAGCTCTGTCACTTGGACTTGCATTGGTACTTCCAGCTGAACCACACCCTATTTTTACTTCTGTGTTGCAGCGATGTAGATAGCAATTTTTTACCCAATTTCAAACCCAAGTGAAATAAAGTATCGACTGAACTCCTCAACTTATGGTTTGTGGTGCATTTGAGCTGCAAATGTTTGCATGTTGATTAGAGCGTATGACCTGTGGTGAGGAAGGGAGTGCAGGCATCTACTGCTACAGCATTTCATAGTGGGATATCCACAGCATATAAACAGCACTACAGAGGAATGTTGTGTAAAAACAAAAGTGAAAAATCAATATTTCCACTGCTTTGTTTGACTGGCGAGCTGAGGGAGAGAGACGGAGACACGGAGATAAGACATAGAGGAGAGAGACAAGACACATTGATCTAAAGGGGTTTAGTTCTTACATCACTGTGAGAAGCACTCTTCAGCCTCCCCTGGAAAGAGAGCATGTGGTTAATACTTCAAGCAGTGGCCAGTCCCTGCAGTCTGACTTCACTCTCATTGGCTACATGACAATACGCAATCAGAAGTGTATATGTTGCTTTGTTAAAATGAAAAAAAATGAAAAGATTGTGTGACACTGCCAGATATGTCACCTCCTTTCAGTTGGCCAATTAGCTTACCCTCCAAAATTAACAACATATTGTGTGCCTTACCACAAAACAAAGAAAACATAGTTTACCAATTGTCAATTTAACATTTACATCTTTGTGTCAATTAAACAAACGAGATATAACATGCTAATTAGCGAATTTGTCAGTTGGTTTGAACTTTGGAGTGAGCCGGGCTGCTGTTTTCCACCACTTCCAGCCTAAGCTAAAATAACCAACGAACGGCTCCATACTTGACGTACGAGAGTGAGAGTGGTATCAATCTTCTTCTGTAACTCATGATAAGAAAGCAAATAAGTGAATTTCCTAAAATGTCAAACTATTCCCTTAAAATTTTAAAAGATAAACCTCAAAAAATCAGAAACAAAAGGTCAGAATTCATAACTGTTGCTCTCACTGGTGGAATTACTATATGATCATTTTGAAATTTGTTGTGATATATATCTATATTGTATAGAGTTAACTGTCCGACAGTAGTTAGTACAGTACTTTACTTTTGATACTTTAAGTAAATTTTTACTGATAATTTTACTTAAGATAAGCACCATTTTTAGAACAGGAATTTTACTTGTAATGGATTATTCTTGCAGTGTGGTATCGCTTCTTTTACTTAAGTAAAGGAACTGAATACTTCCTCCACCACTGGTTACACTAACAATAAACAAGCGCAGCCAATTACATGGACTGAGAAACACACATCAATTCTGTTCATTAGAAGAAAAAAAACCCACATCACTATCTGTGATGACACTACAATTTTTTGCCTGTATACTATCAAGTACACCATGGATCAGAATAGACATTTCTAAAAGGTATTATGTGAAACTAGATGCTTCATTATATTCTGTAGGACTCAATTATGACACTGGTTATTAAGGTTCATAGTTCACAATGTAAAAGTCATCACATACAGTAGATCTTTATGAAATTAAGAGAGTTGTTTTTTGCATAGCACATTGAATGCACCCCTTTTGACCAACATCAGTTCAAACCAGTAACATCTTTTAAGAAAAGCCGTTCTGTGCATCAGGACCAGTGACATAATACCAGCATTACAATCATCTTAGTAACAACAGAACATGAAATCAAACCAGGACAGACCAACATGACAGGTCTGCAGAGACATACAGTACAGTACAGTGTTGTACAGTATACTGAGAGAAGACTGCAGTGTTGAAATAGATCAGATGCAAGCAACAAACCCACAGTGGGCGGTGGGGGGGAGGGGGGGGGGGGCAGGACACAGTTCAAACAGGTGAAAAGGTAGGGGTTGGGGTGGGGGGGTCTGGAAGTGGGGCAGGACACCAGATACCAAGCCACCGAGAGATCGGAGTCACCCCACCAGAGTCCCAGTATAAGGACACAATGCATGAGAAGAAACAACACCAGGCGCAAGAGAGGAGTACCACTTCCTGTTTGAGGAGAGTGTTCAGGACAAAGAGACAGCAGAAGAGGGGAGCATTGATTGGTGGAGATTGTTGAGGGGGTGTGGGACCTATAAGAACCAGTCAGGAATGCACCATGCTACTGTCTTCTCAAAAGAGAGACAGTGTTGGAGGAGAGAAAAGAGAAGAAGAAGAAGAAGAGAACAGAAGAATAACAACATAAGAACAGAAGGAAAAAAAGAAGAAATGAAAGAGAGATGGGACAGATCTGAGAGATGAGACTGTGAGAAGGAGAGGGTCTGATGTGGGGTAAAAAACAGGGGAAGATCGCAGCCACATATAGCAGAGAACCAACCACCGTGGACGGACAGACAGACACACACGCAGGAGTGCTGTACTTACAATCATCTGTGGAGGGAGAGCGGTGGGAGCAGGATGTAATAGTAATCACAACAACAACAACCAGAGAGAAGGGTCAGTTAAGCTGCAAAGAGCCCCACATCAATAAAAAAACAAAACAAAATCACAAGTTTGGGCCCCATGGCTGGAGGGATGTGTACCAATTGATTTCTGTCTAAAGCCTGAACTAAGTACAGGTGGAAAAGTGAGAGGGGCCAGTGAATAAGTAACTTTACTACTATGACATTTCTCAATACATAGCAAATACGTGTTTTAGCTTTTAACAGCAATTTCAAATGAAAAATAGTGATTCTAGAGATGATCATGTGGCATTGCACACATTCACTGCTCACACTCTCCTATTTTTGCTCCTATCTTTTTTGTTTTGATTGGATAAACCCAATTAAACAGGGGCTAACTGCAGAGCTATGGCTACTGAGGCTGAACCAGTAGTGTTGATACTGGCTAGCACTGTACACGGTAACCAGAGATGAATTATCACCATATTAACAGTGATATGAGGCTCTTTAGTTAATAACCAAACACAAATAGGAACACATATATCCAAAACAAAAGAAAACAAGAGGCTGCTTTCCAAAATGTATGATTCTTTTTGGAAGTGGGCCAGATCCTTTGGGCAAAAATGTTCTGCCACTCTGTTGTGAGTTACTCATAAATCGGGAATCTCTCCAAATAGTTGTTGGCTGACATGCTGGAGAGCAGCCATGAGCTGGTGTTAGAATGATATGGTGCACTCCTTCCCCCCCTATTTTTTTAAGGGTTTCATCTTGATTGTTTGGATAAATGAAGGCACCGGGGGGTGGTGTTAAATATAATGTGTGTAGGGGTTAAGAAGTCGATAAGGATGCCATGTAGATGTGATGCAAAAGCAGATTAATCTTCTTCTGTTTATAAGAGTGCCATCTTGAATCACAACACACACAAAATGTCTGCCTTTGTATTCCACTTCCTTATTCTCCACCTCCTCCTCCTTTTTCTTTTGATGCTGCATTGGCAGTCGGAGGTGTGTGAATTTGTGGGTGTATGTGTGTTACATGTTTTGTTCATCATTTTGCTGCTGTCTGCCTTATTGATGTGGTCATCATCAGAACATTTCAAATATCTGTATGTCTAGAAAACTTTATGCTTACCTAGTGATGTGTATGTGTGTCGCTTAGCATTATTATTGTGTCTATTTGTACGTAGGCCTCCGCACGTGCAATCGTGGGCTGTGAGCGCTCTCACCGTTTGGTCTGTGAGTGGCGGCAGAACGATGGTCTTCTCCATGGTGTTCATCACCAGCTTCCACAGCTCCTTCAACACACGTTTCAGCACAGTCTTCTCACAGATCTTAGCAAACAACGTCAGGCTGGCGGGAGGGGGAGACAGGAGAAAGGAAGGGGAGATGAGTAATCAGCAGTACAAGGAAGCAAACACTGTTTTTCTGAAGAAAGAAATGGATGAAAAAGAACAGGAGATTGAACAAAAAAAGGGGCTTCGCAGAAAAGCACAAAATTATTTATTCACCAAGAGTCAAACAAACTCATAGATGCCTTTCTTAACCTTTGTTATGTATAAAAATGTTAAACATCTGTGTATGGATTACTGATCAAACTACTCCTGAGGTGCAACTTAACCTCACACACATCTACACATTGACCTAAACTATGATAACTAGACAATTCAACATACCTTCAGAGACAAAAACAGGCACCCATGATTTTGTCAAACCCCAGGTAAGAAGGTAAAATAATGAATTGGCCTGAAAGCTGAACCATCCCTTTTAGACTCCACTAAAATGTTTCTAGACTGCCTCACTTGCTGTCCAGGAACTCCATGATGGGTTGCAGGACGTTGTCAGCATCCTGTGCCACGCTGCTGGCATTTCCCACATTTGAGGTTCCCTTCACCTGAGCCAAGATGTCTCCCATCTGCTTCACATTCTCCTCTATATGAGGTTGGAAACTACAGAGGAAAAGTGTTTAGTGAAGTCTGCAGTCTCTCTAGTTACACATCGCAATAATGTCAGACTTATGGGTGAATGAGTGTGTTTCTACCTGACAGAAAAGACCCTGCTGAGATCGTCCATGACATTGTTGAGCTTAACCTGCAGATCTTTCAGGATATCGCTGGCCTCCACACACAGCTAAAGTACATACACGGAAACATTATTTGAACATGGCCACTGTGACCAAATACTAACGTGCGCACACAAAACTAAGCTAGTGAACAATACCGGTTGGGAGTTGGAATTCGAGAGGGGACAGATAAAGAGAATCACTCACATCTTTTCCACCCATGGCTTCAAACATCTTCTCCAGCTGAACTCTCAGCTGCTGGATGTTGTTGATCAGGATGCAGGGCTTAGGACAGAAAGATGTCTGTTTGAAACAATCAGAGCTCACCAAAACATTTACAAATGGATCAGCATATTTGTTGGTGTAGGACACAAAGAAATCATTCTCACAACAGCCGTAAATATATATATATATATGACAGCACTGAAAGAAATGACACTTTGCTACAATGTAAAGTAGTGAGTGTACAGCTTGTATAACAGTGTAAATTTGCTGTCCCCTCAAAATAACACACCGCACAGCCATTAATGTCTAAACCGCTGACAACAAAAGCGAGTACACCCCTAAGTGAAAATGTCCCAATTCCCTCCTGTCCTGACTAAAACAACAAATCCGAACACCTAAAACAGAGAAGTTCGAAAACGCTGCAGACCCCGTTTTCGTTTTAAAACTCCAGGGTAGCATATTAGTGTGGACAAGTGAAAATGATTCCCAGTTTTCTGCAGCCACAGTCGCTTTGGATTCCACCTTGGTCCATGCAAAAAACCTCTCTGGTGTGCTTATTCGCCATTGGTATTCTTCTTTCGTCTGTAGTAGTAGGCTACTCTCTTCTTTCGAATCTTCTTCAACTACGGAGTAAACAATCTGCTTTCTCTTTACAATGGCACACGCATGCCCAGCGTAAGTGAATGGTCACTAGATGTGCATTTCGGTTGTTTTAATATAGACTAAGATCAATTCTGATATGCAGCTATAACGCTGGTGTGGAAGAAGATCGTTTTCGTTTTAAAACTCCATTTTAAAATAAAAACATAGTGTGGATTATAGCCATAATTAACAAGTTTACGAGCAAGTAAAAAACAACAGTATTAATTTGAAACTAATATGCATTGTTTAAAACATTTTTTTTGTAGAACTGACCGTCTCTTCTAAGAAAATCCATATGGGTTCATCAAGTCTTCGACCACTTACCACTTTCTCCATGGTGACATAGTTAGCAAACAACTTGGAGATGATATCAGCGTAGGACAGAAGTACATTACTGATGGTCTGGAGAGAGAAACATGGAAGAGCAACAGGTCATCAATCATTGCGGGGTTAATTGTAGTTCAGTTTCTGAAGTGAAAAATTATTTTGTCACCTGAATTAAACTCGACTTTTAAAGACTCATTTGTTGTATACAGGGTGTAGACAGTGTGATTTGACTGCAAAAAGAAAGTTTACTGAATCTACCTTAGCAAACCGCTTCATATAATGTCCTACGATCTGTGGATCCGGGCACTCTAGCTTCCTGATGATCTCAAAGCTCTGGTTGAGCTGGGAAAAGACGTCCACCACCGAGCAGGAGAACAAAGCGTGTTCTGATGTGACCTGGAACTGTAGGGCAGAAAATGTGTGTGAGAAGATTAAAAACTGGGAAGAAAATAATGTGAAAAATGTGATTAGGGGTCAGTAGCTGTGAAGCTGTGATTCAAGGAAGATGTCACCTCTGGGCACGTAAGACCATATAGACGGATCATTAGATGCTATATTAAACTGGACCTTTGATATCTTTCACCACGTGTACAGAACCTCAGACCCTTTACAGCCATACTGCCATCCTGTCTGTCTCCTTGGAAGTGGCAGCTGGTCCCTAATTGGCTAGAGGTGAGTGCGTATGTGCTCCTCCGAGGAGTCTGGGTAATGAAGCTTGAGGACAGCTTTCCTAACTCTGGAATTAATTCACACTATCCTGTTGTCATAGAGTTATCCTCCTCCGTGAGTACATACAGGTCTCAACCATGATTCCTCGCTTTCTACTTTGAAGCACATTGACTGAAACATCCTTTTAGCCCAAACACACTTTCTGCTTTGAGTTCATGTTTGTGCTTTTGTGTTCTTGCTGCTGTTTTAGTTGCCTTTGAAGAGTGCAGGAGAGACAGGGGGGAAGTGTGGAAGGCAGAGCGGGAGGGACAGTGAAACTTGTGGCTGATAACTTTTAGTGTGACAGAGGAAGTACAATGGATGGATTACAGTAATTCTGCTTGAACAACAACAGCGACTCAGCATTTCCAGGGGAGTGAAGGGGAGATAAGGAGAAGGAGAGCTGGAAAGTGTTACCCCATCTTTTTTGTCTCTCTCCAAAGCGCCATGCAGAAAGTCCCGAGACACTTCCTCGTTTTCGTCCAGCCACTGAATGACAAATGGCTCAAACCACCTGTGGAGAGCAGAAAAGATGTTTGTAATTACAAACTAGGAGCCCAGAATTACACAAGACGAGGATTTTTTTTGCCTTATTTTTATTTTCTGTTCTGATGTTGCAAAACAGTGATGGGCCAAGTTGCTACTCACGCAGGATATTCGGGCACCCTGCTCTTGAAGAAGGGCAGGTCTTTACAGTACTCGTTGTACAGCCACTTGACCTTGAAGTGGAGGTTCATGTAATCTGCACTCTTGCACAATCGATTTTTTTCGTGTTCTGAGAGAAAGAATAAAGTGAAAAAATGCATATTGACTAAAAAAGCAAATATCTCTCCTGGTTTTTAAGCTACGTCCACCCACAATTACAACAGATTTACTTTGCATACAGAAGCACTGACCCAGAGTCAAACTCACATTCACAGGAACCTAATGGATAGAGTATAATTAATGGTTTCATCTCACAATCGCGTTTTATGTAGTTGTCATAACCTAGCTAAAGACCATTATAAAAACAGAACCAATCACACTCATTCATTAAAGAAATCAAATATTAACCAATCATGTTGGATGACTTTTCAGGCTTTGCATAATTTCGAATATATATATATATGTATATATTTCCCCCCATAACAGTGTTTCATTTGTCAAAACCAAACTTGGTCAGTGTACATGGACATTTAGAAGAACGATACTGCACTTGATGTGATGGTTCAATAGATGACAATGAGCATTTCAACATTCATCGTCAGTACATAGTTTAATAGATGAGGAGCTCCATTAAGAGTAATTTAATGAAATGTAATACACATGCTTATTAAAGTCATCCAATACCTTCAGCTGGTCAGGCTAACACATTTTAGGATGTTCGCTTGCTACTGATCCTCTATTTGAAACATTCCTACCGCGTTTCATCCAAATTGATGAATGCAATTAAAACAACCTAGTTCTCCTACCATATTTTTATAATAAAAGGAGAGTTCAACTCTCTAAAAATCATTATGAGATACAGCTAAACTTCTTCATACAGTGTTTTGTGTCTGCGTGTATTTGGTCATTAATGCCAATATGCGTTTGAACCACAAAATCACAGTTAGCGGTTCCATTTAGCTAACGAGTCTGCAGTGCTTTGACTGTCAGCTGAAAGGCTCAGTCTATCGCTGACTTGCACTCACCCTCCATTGCATACTTCATATCCTGAGCAAACAGGTTCCACATGACTTCAGCACTGATTTTACCCACGTTGAGTTCCTGGGGAAATCTTGATGGAGGAGAGACGGAGAAAGACTTACGGTATATGCACTTAGAGAGAGAAAGTATATGAAATTGAGCCAGCAGATAACAGCATGTACTTTTAGAGTACTAAGAGAAATGGTGGAGAAGACATAGGCTAAATAGTGTAAAATTGAAACGAAGAGAATACATAGATGAAAGGGGCATATACAAAGAGTAGAGAAACATACTGGTTGAGGCAGGGAGTGTAGGAATTCTTGTCCTCCTCAATAATGGAGACAATAAGTGTGATGAGTTTGGACCAAAAATCCAGATTCTTGATACTGGGTCCCTGCTCCTCTGGTGGCACGGCACCCTGTTTGGCCTAGAAAAGCAGAGACACAACTAGAGTCACAATAAAACTCTACACAGACTTTTTGGAGGGGTTTAGCCTGCTGATCACTTTGTTCAGTACAAGAAGGGAAGACTGGCACCTCTGGCAACAACTGTCAACCTGCAGAGTCAGCAGGTCATTGTAATCTGCTGAGAACTGAAGCAATGTTTTTTGAACAATTTCCTCCTCATCATATTATAACGTTTAGGCACACTTCACACACCACACTTCTATTCAAATGTTGGATAAGATATTGAATCTTCTGAAATGCAGTGTAGTTATTTGTTGTTTATTGTTGAGACAGATCTTGAATGTGTTAATTCAATAACTCAAATACATTAAACATTTGCTGATCAAATGGCTTTAAACAGACTCAGGATGTTAAAACTGTCCGGACGACTTCTTTAAAATAACTGAAGATGTGCTGGAAGAAAAAAAAAAAAAACTAAGCCGAGCTCGGCAGGGACTGAAGAGGGAAGAATGAACTAGCAAAGATTTCAACAAAATCTAGCAACGTCCCTCAGTATGAAATGTTTTATTCAAGGGAAAAATGCTTATTTGAAATTCATGAGGGAGTCTGAATTGGGCTGGCATTTTAATGAGGACCGAAAGCAAGTTCTAGAAATCCCTGTTGAAATCGGATGCAAGAGTGACGGATGGAAGAGCCTGGCCTACCCAGACCGAGAGGATGATGGGGACTCACCACACACACACACACACACACACACAAAAGTGTTACAGTGCATTTTGCACAACACTGATGATGATACAGAAATCAAGGAAAGAAGGAGCACTAATAACATTGAAAAATGATTTTGCACAATGAAAATATTATTAATAATATTTTTAGTCAAGCAATCTGATTAATCAAGCACCAGTCAAGGACTGTAATGATACTTCATGAAGAAAAGTGCTTGCCAAGTTTAAAATGATTAGTTAGTCAACTCTGAGTTTAGAGTTAGGCAGTGATTTATCCTGTTTGGCAAGGAAAAAGATAACTACATCAATCATTGGACATCAGTGACAACATTTTTTAAAGTAAACTTCAATGCTTTTTAGCTCTGACAAACCTGGCAAACCCAGGGAAAAAAACGACTGTGGCAGTCTGCCTACAAGAGTTAGAGATGGAACAACACGTCTTCATTGTAGAAAGAGATAAGGATGCCGTAAGACTTAAAATCTAATTAATTTAATTTAATAGATAAGAATTTCATCTATTTTAACAATTTTTTTCGGAAAACCTGTTGCACATAACATTTGTCGTCTCTTATGCTCTTATGCTTGGAACTATTATACTCTCAAGACCTTTGGCAATACTGTGCCGAATCATGGTCAAGCCAATAAATCAAACTGAAATTTGAACATTTTGAGATGGAGAAGAGAAAGAGCGGGGAGAGAGACATTCACTCACACCTACACAGATATTCATTAAATTGCTGCTTCTTACCGGGTCTGTCTGATACTCGCGGCTGTACAGCTCATGACAGTTATTGAAGATATACTCGTAGGTGGAGTTGAGACAGGCTTTGACACAATCCTTCACAACCTGACTGGCTCTGGGTGGAGACTGAAGCTCTTGGACCTGAACACAAACACACACACACACACACACACAAAAGAGAGTGAACATTTAAACTAGGCAAGTGCATGAATTGACATTAATCAAATTATAGCGTTTCAGAATTATCTTTATATTCATCACAATTACACGATTCTTCCCTAGTATTCAATACGAAGTCAATTTTAAGATGAATATTTTTATATATTTAAAAATATATTATTCTGCTTTTCATATAAAAGATTTTTAAAAATACACGGCACCTTCATTCTGAAGAAGGTGATACTGGTGAGGAGGTCCACTGTGGACTTGAGGTCCTGCAGCCTCTCGGGACTGCTGGCAGGGAAGTTGTTCTGCAGTCAGATGGAAAATAAAAATACAGTGAGGCACAACACATCCATCTTGGTCCTGTGTGTGTGTGTGTGTCTTTGTGTCTGTGGGCAGCATCCAGCGTGGCAACACAATTTTGTGTGGGTGTGCAGTTTCCTGAATGTGTCCGTGCATGTTTCACAGGAGCTGTCACTCCAATTAACAAATCCACCTGCTATGATTTACTGTGTCTCACAAAGAGAAGGATGAGAAGAAAGAAAAGCACAGGACGAAAGGGTTAATGGAACAGAGGTGGGTTAATGTTCTACCAAGCAGTTTGACTATCCAGCCACTATTAGTTGTCATCTATTGTAAAGTTTTCAAAGATAATATGACTGATGATGGTGACGCTATGAGTGCAAACAGCAAGATGGAGAGCAATCTTACTCGGTACATGGACAGGTCAATCCTCAGAGAGTTGTGAAGCTGGTCTAGAAGCTTGACAAATCGCTCTTTCTGTGGGCATTACAATACACATGATCACAGATTTTAACATTAACAAACGTATAACAGACACACCACACTGCTTAATATATAAAGGGCCAGCCATTCAGCACCAGGATTACTAATAAGCATATACATAGTAAAAAAGGAAATTATGATTGCAAAAAAGGAAAAGAAAAACTTTTACTTTTAGTTTACAAAGCAAAGACACACTTCTGTGTTTTCCTTTTTATGGAAATATAATATTTAGTTTTTTTCCCCGACATGTCTTTTCACCTAGATTTAATGAATATAACTGTGGCACCTGTTGCATTTATTGATTATTGCTCAATGTTTCTGCAGTGACTCACCCCAAAGTTAGAAGCAGCAAAGCGGTCAGAGGCAGAGACATTGTTCGTTGCCTGGGTGGTGTGAGCGTAGTAGGCATTGATGTTAGCCAATAGGGTACTCATCACTGCAGGCACACCTGGGCACATGTACTTAGATGACAGGCATGCAAAGTGACTGCAAAAGAAGGACAGACATGTAAGCAAACACAGAAACTTTACACAGAGCTTGATGCATGAAAACAACCAACAATACACATAAGCACACAGGGTCTTTTTTAGAAATAGTGATATTCTGAAGTCAGGCTTTCAGACGGTAACATACGTCATGGCCTGGTAGATGGACTCCACTCCATAACGCATGGCAAACTCATCTACAATCTCCTGGGGAGTCTCCTCAAAATAGACTTTCCATGCATCATCCCCTTTGGCATCAGGGATCTTCACCACACCGTTGTTCTGGATATCTGTCACATAGTGGAAGAGGTTCTGCAGAGAGGAACAAAAGGGAAGAGTTAGAGAGAGAAGTGAAGGTGGTGAATAGAAAACCGAGAGTGAGAGAAAATACATAAAGGAAAGCAAAGAAAGAAACAAAAAGAGAAATGACAAAAACAAAAACAGAGACTGTAAGTTCAAAAGAAAGCTACTGAAAAGTGGTCAACGGCTATTAAGAGCTTTGTCATGTTTAGGGATATAGGTGTGTTTAGGGTAGCCATGACCATTAAGATAGCCCATAAAGAGTGTTTGAGCATGGTTGCTTGACTGTTTGTCACTACAAGTTAGCATGCTCAAAGGACTGTTCCTTAATTCAAGTCATGACGAAACGGGGCTGAGCATTCCTACATCTCTCAGTGGAAATAAAAGTTTCTATATGTTTCATTGTACAAAAACAGCGCTGATTACAAGATCTGTTTATCTAAAAATGGCTGTGCTAAACGATTAGTCGTTAAACTACATTATGAGGCCAACACAAAGTGCTGTCTTGACAACTCAACCATAAAGCAATATGCTGCTGTAAAACATTCTGACTTGGCTATTTGGTTTATGTCCACTTATATGCAACAATAACATTGGCCATTTGTCTGTTAAGGTTCAGCTAATATACTCCTTTGAGTAATGGGCCTACTAATGACTCCATACAAGGCTGAGATTGGTCTACAATCAATCAGCACAGAACCAGAGTTGAAATGTGTCTGATGTCTGGAAGTGGTATTTATCTTATGAGAGCAAAGCAAACTTCACGGAGTATTAACTTAAGTTTAATTTGGAATGGATCCATTATGAAACTGAACATCAGTCAACAGAGGTCGGACCAAGTCATCGTTTTACAAGTCCCAAGTCGAGTCCCAAGTCCAGACCGATCATGAGTAGCAAGTCCGAGTTAAGTCTCAAGTCAAGGACAAGCAAGTCCAAGTCAAGTCCAAGTCAAGTCCAAGTCAAGTCCAAGTCTTAAACTTTGAGTTTCGAGTCCTAAAAAAGCCATAATGCGCTCTTCACCAAATTTAAAAGCATTTAAAAAGTTTTTTCAAGTTAAAAATAAAACAATGTATTGAATGAAGCATTAGCCAGTACAGAAACAAGGCAGAGGTGAAGTTTCACACAACAAATTTCATGAATTAAATTAAATGTTCATGTAGGGCTGCTAATTATTTTGGTCAAAATTGAGATCACAATTATTTAACAGGATGACTCATTGCCTTAGGAAACATTAAAATATTGAAATGTAATACTTTCTTTTTAAAAACTAGGCTACTATATATGGATTAGCCTACTCCAAAATCACAAATAGCCCATGAAATAAGAAACAATAATCCAATATATAAGTTAATTATTAACTTTAAGCAGCATCTAGAGTGCAAGAGGACGGCAGCAGCACAGTTTCCCCGATGTTGACAGCTTTGGGTGACGGATGAGTCACTGAGGGGGCTCTGTGTGTGTGTGTGTGTAGGTGTACGTGTGTGTGAGTGTGAATGTGTGTGTGTGTGTGTGTGTGTGTCTGTACAGAACAGGTGGCAGGTGAACTACTCGAGTTGATGAAGTTACGTTGCAGAACGCTGAAATAAAACCGTGTTTTGTCGGGAGATGCAGTGACAGAAACCAGCGGTGAGAAAACTCTAAATCGCTATGACGTTAGAAGACGCAGACACCGTGGATATTATACAAGCACCGATCGGTTAAAGCAACACTGAACACACCTTTTAGACGGGGACGAGAGCCTCAGCCGTAAAGGAAGGGGGTGCGCTGGGTTTATAAAGCAAAACAAGTGTCGTTGTGAAACAGCACCCGGCGCTATTATCGTTTTATCTTAATGAACTTGTTTTGAGAATTGGTGGAAGCAGCTTCACGCAACAGCTGCAGCAGTCTCTACACTGTTTCTGTGAGGTGGAGGAATTTAGAAAGTTGTGTGGCGCTGCGTCAGGCACCCAGCTGTTGTGCATGCACTAGCCTATGCGTAAAATTCCTCCAGCCAGAGGGAACGATCACGAACCGTTCACAGCACGCTGGTAGGCCTACTAGCTACACAACCCATTGCTAAACAACCCATTGTAGGTACAGGAGAGGGAGTGGGTCGCTGGGGCGTACAGGGACAGGAGATCGCGGAGCGGCCGGCAGCGTTTCGGACGTTCGGTGATTGTTCCCTCTTGCTGGAGGAAGCCACACGCTCCAGTCTAATTGAGCACCGCGCTATGTTGATGCGCTGCGCAGTTTTTTATATCACAATTTATATTCGGGCATGGGGAGTGTCAAGTCAGCTCATGTAAAAAGGCTCAAGTCCAAGTGTAGTCACGAGTCATTGCTGTTCAAGTCAAAGTCGAGTCTTCTTTGATTTTGTCAAGTCCAGTCTAAAGTCATAATTTTTGTGACTCAGTCTGACTCGAGTCCTAGTCATGTGACTCGAGTCCATAACTCTGACGGTCAAGTAAATGAACCTGTTTGGCATGACTCATTAGGATGACCTTGCATGGAGATACACACAGATGCACAGACACACACAATAGTGTAAAAGGTACTATAAACCTAAAAACAGATTCCCGCATTCAAATGTTTTATTTAAATGCACAATCTGCACACTGGCTGCTGATTGGGCCTTTAAGTAAAAGCACAGGAATATGTTTCATCTGTAAAATATTAAAATTTAAAGTACAGTCCCTTTCAACGGGAAAATGTATAAACGCATCAACTTGTTTTAGTGTTGTAATGTTTTTGGTGGCCCGGATATATGCTTTCTTTGGCTTGTTTTTAATTTTGCAAAAAATCCGCCCCTCACATAAGTGTTATGGAGGAAAAATTACAATATTTCCAAAGATGTAGTAGTGGTCAAACATAAAACACCAGTAATTCAAAACAGTATTTAAGTACAGTTCTTGAATACATGTCTTTTGTTACTGTTCAAACAGACACACACACACACACACACACACACACACACACATTGAGCTTACTTCATGCAAACAGGTGTATTGAACGTGATAGGGGGCGACCGTCTCCTCTCCTTTGATCTCTACATTAATGTGCATGCGGATAGCTCCGGACACAGCTGATTTGTCTGTGCGCTTGTCTGTGAAGAGCACAAGACATACAGCAGTTAACGAACTGAAAAAATCTCCACCAGAGGTTAGGTCAGTCATATTAACTGCAAAGTGAGGTGAACTGATGACGGTAGAAAGAAGCTGTTGTATCAATACAGTATAAGTGACGTGGATTATCATTTCAGCAGACACAATGGGATTCAACTGACCCAGGTTGTACCAGACGTCCATTTCTCCGCTCAAAGTGCGCACCTCGATGATAGTTTGACCGAGGAAGTCATCTGACTCCCGCTTGAACTTCTGCTTCACACGAGACTTTATGTCGTCGTCCTCATCCCACACTCGCACCTTGATGCGGTCTGAGGAGTTGTGACATTCACTGAACAGACAGAACCAGAGTCAGCCGGTGCTACCAAATATAGTAGTTACTTTGACAGTTGACCAAGAGGACCAGATTAATTACCATCATGACTCATTAAATATCAAAAGTGCAAACAAAACAAATGTAAATATATTTTCTTTAATAAACAGAAAGCAGGTAGAAATGTTTAACAGCACCAGTGCCACAACTAAAGCTAGAAGGTTTGACATATGTGTATATATATAATATATATATATATATATATATATATATATAAATATTCATAATCTATTATTCTTTTAAGCTTCTCTAGTGTTCTGTCTTTTCTATCATCATAAATTGAAAATGAAATTTGTTCAGCCAAAACAAGCAATTTGACCTTGGGCTCTGACTTCATGATTAGCATTTTCTTCTAATGGCATTGCTTTGGCTAAAATATAAATGTTAAAAATTACCAACATATTACTTAGTAATGAAAACAATCATTATTTGGAGCCTAACTCAACCCTAACTCAAATTTCACATTTCCAAGAGTGTCTTGACTCACAAATTAAATGTCTCCTCCCAGACAGGGTTGAGGTTGCCGTAGATGGTCTTGGTCCTCTTTTTGGTCTTTCCCACCTGGACGGTGACATAAGGGTCACTGGAACCAGTTTTATCCTTGGCTTGTAGACCCTGGGCACACAGCACTAGGAAGAAGGAACAGAATGGCAAGCTGGTCAGCCACTGTGTGTGTTGTGTGTGTGTGCATTTGGATGCAAACAGATGCCTCTTAAATCACCTGACCTTCTGCTCTACTGCCCCACAAACACCACCTGTGCTCTCTTCATACAAACGGCAGCTTGTCTCTTTTTTATAGACACAAACACCTGACATGTGCTGTCTCCTCTGCCTTTGATGATGACAGCGGTGGCCAAATCTGTTCAAAGCTACTATATTGTTCTATCTTGACTCCACTCTCACCTGTGATACTGATCTTGGCCGACCATTTAGAGGTGCCATCGAGCACGCTCTGTTTGATCTGCTTCATGTGAGTGACGTGGGTGGCCTTGACGATGGCGAACACCTCCTGAATGAGTTCGAAGATCTCAGGTTTGTTCCTCTCGCGGATCTTCATGCGGTCTTTAAGAACCATGATGATGTTCTGGGTACGGTCCTCCGCACCATGTTTGGAGCTCTTCTCTGCTGCTCCTGGTTAGCGTAAAAAAGAAGACGAAAATGATTAGATGTATAAAAGCAATTACAATTCGTATCATATCAGAGGTGTTCAATATAAGATGGCTTATGCTTGCCATACAGTCATTAATGGTAACAAAAGTAGAGCATGGACAATACATAGGAATATGTATATGGAATATTTTGTTATAGGAATATATGAAACTAACATGCCAATTTATTTTACAAAACAGACAAGATTTCATTCATGAAATATAGCCAGGGTTTTCATCACCTACACCGTCAGGTGATGAAAACCCTGGCTATATTTCATGAATGAGAGGCAGACACATTTGCAGAGCTATAAAATGCTGAGGAAACGAGAGATGGAAACGAGAGGTGGATGACAACAAAAGATAAATGGCTTTTAATATCCTCTCAAGAAAACAAGGCAAATAAGAAAGGGGGAGTGAGAGAAGAAAGAGGAGGACTCTGTTCTTGGCATTGACAAATAGAGAAAAGAGGAAATAAATGGACTAGGTAGTTCACTGTAAAAGCAGCCCTAACGCAGCAAGAAGTCTAAAACATAAAGTCAGCAAATGGTTATTAGGCTCCAGTGAATATTTTATACTATATTTTAGCATCCTTTGTCACTGTAAATATAATGTGGGCATAAGCTGCGCCTCCTATATATCCCAGAATGTTATTATTATGAGTTAGATGAGAAGATCAGTACCACTCTTGTATCTGTGCTGTCAATGTGACACCAGCCTGTTTGAAGGTAACAAAATCTGCCTATTAGCACCAAAAAACCCTCACAAATCAACACGCTATATCTCATTTGTCTAAACCTTACAACAACATTCAAAGCATATGTTTGTTGTGTGTTACATGTTCCCCTTGTTTCCAGTTTTTGTGCTTTAAGCTAAGCTAACTGTCTCCTGGCTATTGCCCTGTATTTAACATACAGACATGAGAGTGGTGTCATTGCTAGATTTAAATTACAGCATCGTATTTTTAATCCAGTTTTCAGGATTAATGTTTTGCGACATTTCACTTACTTTGCAGACAATCAGCATTGAGTAGATCTTGGCACTTCTCGTGGCATTTGACCCCACACTCTGTACAGCGCATGCCCTGGCGAGCAATACCCCACAGCAGTCCCTCACACTCATAGCAGTAAGTAGGTGTGGTGGCTGTCCACACTTCGAAATTGTGTGGGGTGGTGCAGGAGATGGGGTAAATGAGGGCCTGGAGGGTCTTCTTGTAGACATGACTCTTCTACGAGGATAAAGAAGTGAGAAGTGCATGGTCAGTTGGGTGTTGAATGTGCTGGAATGACTTTTGACATGTGAGTTAATATTGTAACTGACCAGTTCTTCGTTATGCAGTGTGCTGGACGTCAGGGCCGAGGTGATGCCTGCCTTCCTGGAGTTCTGAACCAAGGACTGAGTGGCAGGAGAGAGGAGGGGTCAGTTTCTCTCAGCTCCCACCTTGATATCTTATTCAAAACAAATCTCGGTGCAGTCAATGAGGCAATTTACTTTTTTTGTATTTTTACTGTCTGGCAATATTCCCCTGAATAGTTACAGTAAACTCAAGGTGAAAGGTGCAGAATTTAAAGTGCTTCCTCTCTTAAGAGTGATCAGTTTGCTCAAGACACAAGAAAAATACACCTTTGTAACCTGTGTTTTGATGGCAAATGGTGTTGGTGTTACTCACCATAGCCTGTAGCGGGGCAGTTAAGGTAGGAGGAATAAGAGAGAGATTTTAAATTAGAAAAAGACAAGAGGGGTAAATTTCCATTGAGAGTAAAAAATGATAAAGAGAGATGTTGAGAAATGATGCATTCATTGTGCATACTGTAATTATTGTGATTAAACAAGAATGGACTTCCACAATAAAAGCATGGGTGGGAATCAAAAAAAGTGACTGTATAGTCAGATCTGGAGACTTTTACGAAGTCACAGCTGCAACCAAACTTGAGCATTTGATATTTAAATGAAATAGCCTGTGATAACTGTCCGATCAATTACATGAGACAGTCTGACATGGTGCGAGTGTGTGTGTGCATGTGTGAAAGCGAGAGGAAGAGAAACAATGGTGCACCTGCCTGAGCCTCTCAGTGCGTAGTGACTGTAAATTTGTGACAGCAAGATTAATAATGAAGACAGTCATCTGAGATAATTACTTGTGTGTGGCAACGCTTGGATCTGGTGTGTTTAGGAAAATGGCACACTGAGTTTTGCCTGGCAGTTAATATAAAGAGCCAATTTCCCCTAGCCTCCACTACAAAGGGTGTTTTTGCATTAAATAGTTCAAAATTTTGTCCAACACTGTAAAATTATTTGCTTTTTTGCCAAAAGTTAGAGAAGATTGAAACCACTCTGATCAGTCTGCAGCCAGTTAACATAGCACAAACTGGAAACAGGGGGAACCAGCTAGCCTGCCAGCACAACTAAAGCTCAGGTTTACCAGGTAAGCCATTTCCCCACCTTCCAGACTTCTGGCTGCTCAGTTAATCAATCTTCTCTTCTAACTCTTGGAAAGAATGCAAACAAGGGTATTTCCCAAAATGTGAAATTGTTCCTTTCTTTCATTTGTCTTTCTGAAAAGCTGAAACGTGATACAATGTGTGTCCATCCAGATTCTGAGATTTCTCTATACTTGCTAGTAAAAGCTGAAAGATTTATCCAGAGGATTTATATTTCCCAAAGTCTTATGCCTAATTAGGCAGTGTCAGGGAGTCATGGGCACGATGAATGGTCTGTTAAATGACATCTAGCAGACATCCCTGCCAGGCTGTAACAGCAGGGAAATGTATTCTCTGGTAGCATAGTGGATGTACTGCGGTGGGTAAATAGACAGAGAGGAAGAGGAGTAAAAAGGAGAAATGATGAAAAGAAAAGTACAATTTGGTAAAAAGAGTAATAATAAGATGAGAAAGGACAGCAGGTAATCAGAAGGAAAACAGGAGATGGTTTAGTAGATGAAAGTGCTGACTGCTGAGTTGAGTGATAGATGGACAGGAGAGATATGAGACAGTTTGGGGAATATAAGAGATTAGTGCAGAAACTCACCAGATCTCTGACCAGAGGCATAGCTTTCCTCTTCCTGAGATCTGGCATGCTGTCAATGCTATACAGAGCGCCACCCATCCTGGAGACAAAACATGCAGAGAGCAGGGTTCAACACCAGCTATTTTTTAAGTTACAGTTGTTAACTTGAACCTGGACATGACAAATCAATTAGACAATCAATGCATTCGGACATTAAGGCCATGGGCTTGCCTTTCTGTTGGTAAGTTATAGATTTTCATTGGTCATAGTAGTAACAGCGTCATGGTTACTTACCCTGCTGATAAAAGCAGAGAGGCGATGCCAACACTTTCACCTCTGGCCTGAAGAGAAAGAGAGGCAAGCAGGGTGCCATTAGAGATGTAGTTGGAAAAATAGGAACCATAGCAAATTACAGTACTTCACATAGTACTTTTATATTGTTCTTTCTACAGAGAACAACAAAATCGAGAGATACTGTATTAGTGTTCCTTAGCAAAAAGCACTATTTCATGGTTTCACTAGTAGCTGTAACCATAATGACTGCAACTGTGGGAGATAGAAAGAAAAAGGAGGAGATGAGGAGAGTGGTAAAGCTGAGTTGTGTCTTTCTGAGTGAGTGTGGGGATTATTGACCTTATCAGTGGCTTCTGTCTTTGAGAATCATAGTAATAGTAGATAGTAGATAGTAGCCAGATGGCCGTGCGTGCAATAATTATTCTAATTCTATCTTCTCTATTATTGAAAGACATGTTCTTTGTCTGCCTGCCTGTTCAAAGACTGACTCATGGCGCTGATACTCACGTCACACAGACGCACAGAAATAGTCATGATTAGTATAAATGGCAGACTTTGAAAATTAAACTTAACAGGCTTACAGCAGCTTCTGATGTGTTGTTTTTCTATGAGCCGCACAGGATACATTCAATATAGATTAGATTGATTAACACACTACTGGCCACACCCACCTGAGGGTCTGCTCCAGCCATGGGTAATCAGAATGGACTACATGCAAATCGCTACGAGGATGGGAAACAACTGAAAAGAAAATAATGAAATGGCAAAACAGTACAAGGGGTAAACAGAAACTATCAAATAAACACAAGACAATATAATCCACAACAATAACCAAGAAAATGGGGAAAATGGTGGACCAATCAACAAAAGCTGGAAAAAAACACAGTAACAGTAGTACATGCAGGGACTGATGCAACAAGTCAGTGAGCTCAAGTTGTAGATTTTTGAATTGAAGCAGAGTAACAACAGAGAAGACATATTACCCAGGCATTCACCTGGCATGAATGCACACCTTTGTGCACAAAGATACACTAGGAGACACACGCACATATAAAGGCTATACCTCTTGCAGCTGTAGTCGTACTCTGCTGAAAAGTCGGAGCCAGTTGGCTTTGGCTCTGGCAGGACCAGGCTCCATGATTTCCCTATTTGGGAAGCTAAAAGAATATTTGAAGAAGGAACAACATTTTTCATTCATATATGCGCTCTGTTAGCTAATGTAGTAAATGTACAGTTATTATGAAGATAACTATCACTTACTAATAGAAGTAAACACCATAAAGGGGCACTCCACTGATTTTGCACTCTAAGTTTATTTAACATGTCACGAGGAGTACTCGTATTAAACTGGCTCTCAAAAGTCTGAGAAAATAATCATGTCATCAGGCAGGGAGGGTCTAATGAAAGGTGGCAATACGTTGCTTTAAGGGAAATGAAGGATTCAGATTTTTTGGAGGATTAGTGTTGACAGTGTGTGAAACCTTATTTTTCCTGTATGAAGCTGACAGTGTGTGAACAGTGTTTACCTTGGAACAGGTGGCTCTTCTGTTTTCTCTTCAGGAGCTGGAGGGACACTTTCTGCTGTTGGAGGCTGCTCGGTGGGTCGAGGTGCCTCCAGCGGTACCTCGGACTTGGGCTCAGGCTCCAGTGGCTTGGTAGCTGAAACCTGTGAGGTTGTTGTGGGGGTGGATGTAGTGGTGGTAGACAGAGCTGGCTGGGTGTGTGCAAATGGAGACTTGGTGGTTTCTGTGCTGAAAGGGGGCAACGTGTTCTCCTGTGCGAGTGGAGGTAGACCGGGAGCTGTGCTGGGGGGCTGCGGCTGATCATGGGCAGACTGCTGCTGATGCAATGACGCCTGCTTCTCCAGCGGTGGCCTTGTGGAGGACAGACTATCGGAGGGGGGCAAAAGGGTGGGGGCAGTGCTTGTGGGTGTGGGGGTGTAGGGCGGCTCTTGTTCTTCACTGAGTGTGCCGTCAAGTGGATACATATCTTCATCTTCCTCATAAGGCATCTCCTCCTCATCTTCGTAGTACTCTCCTTCCTCTGTGTACATGTCTCCATCCTCTTCGGCATACAGCGCCCCCTCTTCCCCTCCATCTTTGAGGTAGCCTCCCTCGTCGCTGTAGACCCCCTGGTGGTCCTCCCCATCCCAGACTGGGGAATCCTCTTTGCCGTAGCTGACGGAGGAGTGGCAGGAGTGGTAGGAGTCATTTTCATCGTAGAACTCTGAACCTCGCAAGCTCTCGCCGTCCTCAGGAGCAAACTCCTCGCTGAGCTGAGAGCTGCCTCGACTCAACTCGCCTGACGAGGCGTACCGACTGTCTGTGGGACTGGAGGGAAGGGAAGATACAGACAGCTGTTACATAAACACACCCACACAGGTTTAAAAGTAAACTAAGGGAGTTCCCACACTTGCACAGTTAGGAGTTTGGCACTTAAGGAACTTGTGTCGGGGCCAAAGAGGGAGACAGCTAACCAATAGGAAAAGAGGAGTGACTTTTAAACCAACCAATAAGAAAACTCTGAGCAGGTGGGTTTTGGCTAGTGATGCATCTATGCAACTGAAGGGGAATAATCTTTTTAGTAATGGGAAAGGTTACTATGGATACTAATTCACACACAAATTAATACAGAAACCCACACCATATAAAAATATATAAATAGGCCTACTCAAATGAAAGAAAGTGAACCTGGAGAGGTTGAGGGTAATTTAAAATCCTGGCAGAACAAAAACAGCCTCTTGCAGATAAATAAGTGAATAATATTTATCCACGATGATGAATGAGGCTATTAGACATTGAGACAGACCATGAGTCAGAGAGAGACTGGAGACACATGCAAAAATAATTTCTTACACACACAAAACAGACACGCACTCACACTTATTGTTTCGCCTCTATTGATTACAGTCATGTTGGTTCAATAACGCATGGGGCAGGAGCAGTAAAGGAGAGAAATGTATTACGGCTTCGAGCTGTGAGTCAGAGGGAATACACAAGTACGGGTGAATGTACACACAAACACTAAATCATGACACCCCTGTTCTTTTCTATTCATCACCTACCTCACAATCTCCTTCCTGTCCAGACACGAAGTCTGACACAGACAGTGACAAATGCTTGCATAATGAGTCTAAATACATGTCTGCCCTCTTTCTTAGAAAAGAATAAAAAAAAACAACAATGAAATTAAGATGAAAATTAATGTAATTTGTCATGGCCTCTCTGCTATGGCCCCATTATTGGGCTGAAGGCATCCTGCTGTCTTATAAGTGAAAATTAAATATGTATAATTACCAAGTAAAGGACACTCAGAATAAGACAGGGCTCTTCTTAAAGTCTCACATGCAAGATGAGGCTGTAATAACAGGCTGTCGTGAAAACAGATTATCACACACACACACACACACACACACACACACACACACACACACACACAGAGGCTCTTCCACAAACTCCAACCAACAATTAACCTCTCTGTCTCTGAGTGTTATGAAACAACTCACACATACACGCATCTTGTCAATCACTTGCCCACACACATAAACACAAAACTACGTAGAACTTAGAGTTTAACAAAGGTGAAGATGAGTATGATGCATATTTTTGTGAAACTGATTTGGGAATCTTCACCAGGAACACAGTAAATAGAGATGCAGGACCAGTAGTTCTCTATAAAAAGTACAGAATATACATATACAGAGATAGGGTAAGAGCGCATGCATGCAAGCACAGTGAGCGAGGAGGACGGGACAAGTCCACCACTGACGTCACAGCGAGACGGAGTCACAGGCCGGAGCAGGAGGAGGAAGAGGAATTGGAAAGGAGGTACAGAGACCCACCTATCGGACAGTGAATGCCTACTGTCTAGAGAATACTGACGACTGGTGCGCCGGCTCGACCCTGAGCCTGAGTCGATATCGCTGCGCCCGTTGGTGGCCGAGTCTAAACTATCATAGCGTCTGGTAAGAGGAGCAAGGAGGAAGGCAGGAAGGAGGGAAGAGGTGGGAGAGGAGCATCAGTAGAGCTCAGTGCAAATCTTTCAAAGAAAGCTCTAACCAAACTGAGCCGCTGCGTTGCTTGGTTAAAGGATAGGTTCACAGTTTTTCAAGCCTGTCTTGAAACAATGGCCGGTTGTGACCACTGAAGCAGAATTTGCTGGCTGTAATCATTCATCCTGTTCATACTGTCCATTAAATGACCCCTTTCTATTGTGCTCACAATGTAAGTAAAATGCACAGTTGAATGAAGCAGGTATATTCCAGTTCTTCTTTTTTAGTGTCCCTCTACTGCACAACAAGGAAACACTGTCAGTGGAAACACAAAGAGGGATTTTTTTTACTAAACAAACTGTTACTTTAAATTATATCTACTTGATTTTATTAGAAATGGATCTCTTACTGGCTGCTATAAACTGGAAAAAGTATTACAGCAAACAAAACCTATTTAAATGTTCATATAAACATCTGACTGTTGTACAAAGACAGACTTGAAAAATTAAAAGATATTCTTTACGTTTCTGCACAAGGACCTCTCACAGAGGCTGAGCACTTGAAGATCTGTTTAACCCACCTAAATCTAACCAAATGAACAACAACAGGACAAACTTTCTGTTTCAGCTTTCTGAGCAATGCATGAGTTTGAAACATCTGTCGCCATTGAAAAAAATGTCCAAAAATGTTCAGCAATACTGTTATGTTCAGAAATCCATTAATTTTCTGCACAACAAGTCACACAAGTTTACCTGATGCTCACACACTCAACGTGCACACAAAGATGCAGGCACGCACACAGGCATTCACACATGCACACACACGCACAGAAAAGATAACCACAAAGGCCCAGTTCATACATGACCTGTATACAAGAACTGTGCGCCCCAGCATGCTTGTATACACTGAGGCCAGGGTTATTCTCTAGAGGAGGAGAGCACAGTGGGACAGCATGTTACCATGTACAGCACAGTAAAACAAAACAAGGCCACGGGGGCTGAGCTGTCTCAGGGCTAAAAGTTATTCACTTCAGGAATATTTGTTTAAGAAGGGATGTGTATATTATATCGTCAACATTAACCAGTCTTTCTTCTTTAGGGATTTTTCCTTCCTTTCTCACCAAAAAGATTCCTTTCTCCCTGTTGCTGATACTTTCTGACAACCCAATGGTAATCTCATAAAAAGAAAACTCAAGTCTCAGTTGTGGCTATGTAGTGGCTGCAGGGTGCGTGTTACCTCATGACTCTGTGGTCGTAGTCTAGCTCATGGATGTCGTCGTTGTAGGAGTGTCTGTAGTGCTGGTGCCTCATGGGATACTGGTGCATGGAAGCGTTGGGCTGGGAGGTGGTGTAGTAGGGAGGCGGGATGCTGTTACTGGTCTCACTGCGGTAGTCGCTGTCCCTGTCATCCACGGCGCTGTCTGGATCCTCGTCTGTTCACACAAACACAGCGGGGACAAAGTGAGGGGGCGAGATGAGAAGAGGTTCATGGCTCAGAATTGTATTATACAGTATTTGTATACTAAATAGTAGTAAATAAATGTTTTTGATCTTATTTTTGACTATATTTAAAAATAATTTATATTTTTTGATGTTCAATTCTAGCATTCTTTTAAGGAGAATATTAAATGTAAATCAAAATGTAGATTATTATATAATATCTATAGTGCACATAACCTTTTTTCAGTCCTCAGTAGTATCTACAGTTATTCATGTAAGGCTGCATACTGCACCAACAACCTCCAGCAATACAGTAAGAATGGAAAGATAAGCAAGGTAAGAAAGGTATGTAGCCTACGAGGCAAGACCTGGGGCAAAAAAAACTCTCCACTGCACTTGGCACCAGTCACTGCTGCTCGCTAAGCTTGTTGCTTTGAGTGCACAGTAACAATTGAAGGTGACTCAGATAGTATATGGCAGTCCAATGAGTTACGCTTGCATGACACCCCCATCCCCAGGGGAAATTACATCCTTGGAAAAAACTCATATGTATCCTCAACAAACACCACATAGGTTATTTTAATGTAACTTTACTCAATTTAATTCCAACAGCTTGACTTTAAATTTGTCAGGAGATTACGGATACGAACTGAAAGGAAGTTCAGAGGGGATGTGTGGAGGAAAAAATATATTTTCAAGGCAGCTAATGGTCTCAGAGGAAAACTACACAAGGAGATCATTACATTAAATGAGACATGGACAATAAATACAGAATTACTCCAAGTCATTATAGCAGAAGCGCATGAAAGAAACTTACTTTGCTGATCTCCCCACAGACTCCAATTACCTGCAAGGAGATATAGGGTTGGAAAAACTCAAATTAGGTTTGGGCTACAAATTAAACACACCAGCAGTCCACAAAGCCATGTAAACAAACGTGGAGATTTATAGCCCTGAGAAAGACCTATTTTGCAGAGGGTTCATAAGTGAGGTAAATCAGTGTTTGTATGTGTGCGAGTGAAGAAAAACACGAGAAGCTCAAAAAGCTTAGATCAAAATCAGCTTTAGTTCAAATGCTGCTGGCCTTGGTGCTGCTAAGTAACTAAGAACAAAAAATATGCACATGCTGACATCATCTCTGCACACACACAAGCATCATGCCACCAACCCAAACCCTGTGTCCACAGATTTATGCTATGCGCACTTATCCACCTGCTCCCTGTGTCATCATCACTAGACAGACAGCCAGGGTGGTGTGTGTCTGACAACCCAGCATATGTCAGTTCATATTCATCACACATCTAGCACCTATAAGTCATTCTAGTGTTCAGCCAGGCTTGCATGCGTGATTTGTCCCATCAGCTTCCCTCCCTCCCATCTTCCATGCTTTGCTTCATCTAGGAGCCTTAATTTCTACCTCCTGTCTAGTCCCTTTATCAGTACGAGTCACAACGATTGAGCAGAGGGAGTGAGGAGAGAAAAAAAAGATAAGGGGCGTAAAATAGACACAACAGAACAGGAGGAGGTGGACGCAGAAGCGGCGTCTGACACTCACAGCATTGTGTGGATGGTGCATGGAGCGGTCGCTCCTGTTCTTCTTGATACTGAGGGATAAACAACAACAGACATCTTGGAAAATAAGATCCAGCACTTCTTCTGCGGAAATTTGCTGGTAAAAATGTTGACTCTGGCAATTCTGTTATTAATGGCCGAGTGGAAGATAAAACACTGTAAAATTAAGGAATAAATAGAGTGTGTGATGGGAATGTAGAAAAGAATGAAGTTCTTACATCTTGATCTCTCATTGCATTTAGTTGTTCAAGTTTCTTGGCCCAGTACCTGGCCTCTTCCTCTGGAATGTCTGCAGCACACAACAAAAACACTCATCATGTTCCTCGCCTCAGCACATCTGATATTGGACGTATGTCCAACATATGTCTCTCTGTATATTCCTCTGATATGATTCTCTGTGATCATATCACACAATCTTCCTAGATGTGATGAAATTATGTGTTGAAATTGCATTTTTCTGAGGACCGAAAGCTATCACTTACAATCGAAATCTCCAGCCAAACAGCCAAATGGACCTTGTGGTGAGATTGTATTACCAACTGCTATTTCCAAGGTCAAAAATGAACTCTATATATCAAGTAACAGCCCCAGAGGTAGTGTTAGTACTAGTAGAAGTAGAAGTAGCAGCAGCAGCATTAGTAGTGAATGTAAAAGTATTAGGACTAGCAGTGCTAAAAGTGGTATACCACTTATAGTACTTCCACTATCATTGTTATAATAACATTGATAGTGGAAGTACTATTACTAAGAACAGTGGGAATGTATTTTCCTGTTATTTTTTATTTTTTATTTTTTTACATTTTATAGAAGAATATCCATTTATCTAAAATCTAACATATATAAATGGAACAAATTACAGAATGAAGCACCAAGTGGGATTAATACAATTATCATGAAAAGCCAAACCTAGTGGCAGTTCAAAGCGGGTGTCGAGCAGCAGCCGGTGAAAGGTCGGGTCTTTGGTTCCGCAGATCTCATTCTCAGCCATGATTGCATTAGAGTCCAGGGTCAGCCACTGGCCTGGGCCCTCCTGAAAAGATAGAGGACTATGAAATATGCCACAATACTTAGTGCATGATAAAAATACCTTTTGGTATTGTGCTTGAGGTCTGTCATTGTTCAGCATCTCCAATATAAATAATGAAGAAAATAAGAAATGTAAGTTCAGTTCGATTGCCACGTTATCATTAGCTTTGACTAAATCTCAAAGCTTTGAATTTGAAAAAATCACTGTGCTTTGCAGCTGTTCACCAAGGACAAGTTACAGCACGTAAACCACAACTTGTCATTTTTACATATCTGTTTGTAAACGAATTTAAAAACCGAGATACAATGAGTTGGCATTAGAGGTGGTCGTGGTCGTATTTTTGAACTTTAGAGAGAGCCAGGCCAGCAGTTTCCCCCAGGCTCCGGTAGTTAATTGCCTCCTGGCTCTAGCTTCATACTTAATATATCGATCATACTTCTCATCTAACTCTCGGCAACAAAGCCAATAAGTGTATTTTCCAAAATGTTGAACTAATAAATAAAAAACATCATCCTAGATTGGGTAAAAATGTACCTACTGATCTGATCTACTACTACTGACCTCATCACAGAACATTATCACCAGTTAGCCAAACAAGTATTTACCTACAGTTACTAAGTTCATTAAGTGGCTTATTTAACCAATTCCAAATCATTGTGCACATAATTAACAAGCCCAATAGAATATATTTTACAGGCATCAGGAAATGTGTTATATTATGCAGGAGGACTAGATTAAAAATGAAAGCAGTGTGCAGTTGGAAAAGCGCTATCAACAAATACTGAAACATAAAAAATAAAACAAATCAGAGCACTTACTGCTAACCAATGCTGATCACTTTCAAAACAAAATTCGAATCTCCATCATTACAACAACAATTTATCACTTGCTGTTTAAATACATGCTGTTTATTTACTTACTGTTGGTTTATTTCTTATACATGATCATGTAGCAGCTATTGATCTGTTGTCCACTTCAGAAACAGAAAACAGTAAGCTAATAAAATCTAACACTGGAGGATGTCTGAGCCAGAGAGAGAGGTGGAGCGTACCTCATTGGACTGTCGTATGCTGCGCAGTGGGATCCATAAGGTGCCCACCATGGTGTCCCAGATCAGCCCTTTATTCCACACCTCCACTGTCAGGCCCAGATCCAGGCGGTTTATTTCGCTGCTCGGCAGAAAGAGGAAGAGGCAGATTAAGAAAAAGAGAAATGAGTTAGGAAAAAGCAGAGGAAACAATAAAAAACCACAGAATGTTATAAAGACCTGAGTGGAGACAGGATTGTATACAGAAACCTCACTGCGTAAAGAAAGAAATATAGTGTATGCCATCAGGAGCTGCACTTAAATCTGGTGAGGGATATGCACTGTGATTCAATCTGCTGAGGGAAATGAGTCATTCAGCATGAAGATGGAAAGAGCTGGTGATTGTCAACGGGGCTGCCGGCAGGATATAAGAGAGAACACAGACAGGACAACAGCAGAGGCAGGGATCTATATTTCTGTATGGCAAACAAAAGAGAACTCTTTGCCCCCTTTTTCCATCAAGCATCACTCATACCAGCTAGGATTTGTAAAGTGATTTCAAATATGACTGGCAGATTATCAGATCTCATTGTCCAACAGTGCCTCTCCCCAAGCCTTCTGGCTGCCTTAAGTGAATCAAAACCTAATAATAGCCACAGCTTTGATATGAAAATACATCTTTCTGTTTTCTTGAGAGCCAAGGAAGTAATCTCACAAATGGCTGAATGGTGCTCTGCTTCACAGAAGAGAAAAAAGAAGAGGAGGAAGGTGGCAGGAGATGGAGAAAGTGAGGGATCTAAAAAGGGGAAAGAAAGTAAGAGCTGATTTTTAGTTTAGAGATATGCTGTAATAGATTAAACATAACAACAGTACAATGGCAAGATAACTCATTTTTATCTGTTGTGTTAGGCTGTTTTTTTCCTTTTCAGACAACTTTCTGGAGTTATGAGGTGTCATGACGCCAGGACACTGGCTGTGTGAACTTTGCTGGAGAGACCCAGAGAGGAAGCAGGAGGAAGAGGGCAAAAATAACTCCTTTTAGGGGGTACAAATGCCACAGCTGGTGGCTTATGTTGCCGAAGAATTGAACCACTGAGGTGACATCTCTATTCATGTGAATTATCTGTATTCATTCCTTATTTAATGCCTATAGTTTAAAACTACTTATATATTAATATGACTTTGCATCTGCAGTGCTCTGCCAACCTGGGACCTGGAAAAAAGCCCTCTGTCCATACAACCACAACTCTAACTTTGTGGGTGCAAGAGGAGGAGAAGAGAAAAGGGTCACTGCACTATAGGTGAAGGTGAGAGAGAAGGAAGACAAGTAGGTGTGAAGAGTAAGAGTAAGAAATTGTGAGCCAAATTGTGCAGGAAAGAATTAAGCAATACTGCATAGCCAGATTAACAGAAGACAGGGGCTGAAAGAAGGAGCGCCATAGTGAGATGAAAGGGGGCAGGAGACGTGAGAGAGGGCAAGAAGCACTCACAACATGAAATCCTGCTCCCAGCATGGCTGAATGCCGCGCACAGCGATGGTTGTGCTCTTAACATTCTGCACCTTCAGGGTCACGTACGTGTTAAATTTCTCTGTAAAAAGTAAAAAACAAATACCATTAGTCACGCTACTGTGTGTGTGTGTTTATATGGAACAACCTGATTCAGTAAAAATAAGAAACAAATGGATGATATCAGCGGGTCAAAACTCACCTTGGGGTCCATCAAGCTTGGCTTTCTTCACTGCAAACAAATTGAGAAAAGAACAAGTAATCAGTGACTAGAAGCTAAAATGTCAGCTAAAATAACACATTTCCAAATGTGCTAATGTGACAGGTTTGAAACATTTCACTGGATGCTGATGTTCTGCATTAGCAGAACATCAGCATCCAGTGAATCTACAAAGGCTTTTCTCAGGCCTATACTGGTTGGCTGGTGATTGACAGGAGCCTGGCATTTTAGAGGGGGAGTGGGGTTGGAGAGAGTCTGATCTTCTCAGCCTGGGACTCCTCTCCTCCTCTTTTGGGCAGAATGCCACAATCTCAATATGAAAGACTGTGTCTGTTCAGCAGGAGGTGTCAGGATCTCTGAGTCACAGGGCCAGAAGGACAGTTTGTGCAGGTGAGAGTAAAAGGTGACGCCAGGCAGGTAGGAGAGCGGCCACATGCCTCGTCCTCTCTGAATGATGTGTGTGTATATATTCCTGCATGGTTGACAACGGGAGGCGTTGGATAAAAGATAGAGCAGCGCTGCTTTTTGTCTAACACACACATAGACGAGGCTCTGTCGAGGTGCCACTTCCAGCTCCTCCACGCAGGGACCTCTGAAGGTACCAGACTGACTTTTAAAACCAGTGACGTCAAAAGCCTATTCATTATTCATTCAATCCGGCACCCTGTCGATACCCAGCATCCCCGTGTTCAGCAGTGAGGTATTAATATTCAGAGCTCTGGTTTTTAATCCTTGCTGATTGCCTCTTTTCACTGATGTTACATTTCAGGAAGGAAATACAAGGAATCATTTAAAATCAACTAATTGGACTTCAACAACAAGCCCTTAAAAACTCCCTAGTCATGTGGCTTGGCTGCAAGAAGAATTACTTTATAATATATGACCTAAAGTCCAACTGTATAATAGAGAAAGATAAATAAATAACCCCTGTTGTTCAATCAAGAAAAGCCTAATAATTTGAGTAGTAAAGGTGATGCTGACAAAGAAACACATTCTGAGTCATTTCCTTAGTCAGGAAGAGCAGAGCAAGCACGATAATCACTGAGGACAAATTGGCTACTAAAATTAAAGTCACCCCAGCAAACCCTTAGGATAACGCTTATCACTTAAATATGTGTCTGATTCATGAGGTAGGTGCCAGAGTAACTGGTCTGGTGGAGCTTGTGCTTCTTTGCCAACTTCAAAGCAAAATCCCCTTCCTGATATTTTAGCTGCTGACGAGGCAAGTCATGCCTGTGGGGCATGGAAGGTTCTTTTCCATGGAAGCACTGAATATGACTTTGACAAAGAGGCATTCAAATTACTTTTTTTCTTTGCTTTAAATAGACAGTAAATGACAGATGCTCCTTGGCTGCATCCTTGCCAAAACCCTCCCTCTCACACATACACTGTCCTCTCCTCCCCATCAGCCAGTCATTGGTCCTCTCTCTCCGTCACCCACTCAATCACTCGCTCCTACAAGCTCCCCCTGCCATGTGGCGAGGATGCACGTGTGCTCCCTTTCTATGTCTTTCTCTCGTGCTCCATTAATCTCTCTGTGCAGCTGGATGCAGGCAGAGCGGGCTGCTTCCCCAACACTAAAAATAACCACTTCAGTTTGACAGGAGCGGGGGGTGCCGGAAAGGGGGGGGGGGCTCTTAGCTCACAGGCATAAGACTAAACCACCATTGCTGCAGTAACAGCACAGGGAATGTGTGAAGGGGAGTAGGTGGGGGGAAAAGTGTTGCATATTTTCTGCAAACCCTCAACAGAAAATGTTGAGCACCTGCCACAGCAATTAAAGAATCCCATTTTCTGTTTGAAAATTGGACAAATACATTCACTCATGCCCTGATGTAGAGGAGCCAAAGGGGCTTTTCATTTCTTGAGGTTTTCCAATCAAACACTTTCAAAGAGCCCACACCAGACACAGCAACATAAACCTGCAGACGGCGAATGAAGTGAAGATGATTTAAAAAGACGATTAAATTACAAATGGTTACAAAGACTGAGGTCATTACAGCTTGTCCCTGTGTCCTGCAAGATCAAATTCAATCACACAGCTGCTGCATACCTTTGGGAAGATATTAATAATAGTGATTAGAGTATAACTGCTATAAAAGTATGTAATAGTAGTCACTGATGAATGAATACTCCATTCATACAACTAATGAAAACCTGTGAGAAATATTAGAATTTGAAAATATCTGTACCTGAAATGTAGGTGCAAAATGTAAAGACAATGCAGACTTACAGTATATATACAGTATTTACTGTATCAAGGCTATATGTAACGGTATATATAGCTTGAACTGACTTGCTACATTTGCTCCTAACTATTTCCAGACTCCAAGTAACCCTAGTCATTATTACAGCAACGCAGCAGTGTGTTTGAAATGGTAATAAGACCCAGAACTAGCCATATTTATTTCTAATGCAGGACTTTCTTCCCTAATGATCTCAATACATATGTAAATAGTCTTAAATAGGTGTCCGGATAATGCCTTAATGAAAGAAGGTGACGCTAATGAGGATGTCTCTCATGGCTCACTCTGTTATCATGCATGAATTGGAATTTCGCTACAGGGGGGTGACAGTAATAGGACGGTTGCCAGATCTGAATATGCTTATTCAGCCTCTGTGGCACATGCTATCATTTCAAAGTCTACATCTAACATCACGAGATGTGGAAGTAGAGTATACACACATCTCTGACAAGGTAATTCCACATTACCATTACTGCAATGTAGCCCAACTCGTGTTACCAAGGTAAACAGCCATGCGTATTTTCCTCTTCATTTTTTCATTCTTCTCACAGCTGGCGTGAAAAGTATAATATCAATATAAACCTAGCTGCAGGCCCATAACAGAGTGTGTAGAAATTAATGAGAAAATGCCAGCAGAAACCTAAAATACCTTTGGGGTTGCTATGCCAACAAAGCTTCAAGACATAAAGGGACCACCAATGAGCCTGAATCTCCATCCTGACATCTGTGCAACCAGCTCTAGCTTTGGTGTCAACAATATACAGTAGCAGCCTCTTCATAAACACTACTAAGTCTGCTCCAACCTCTCTGTGAATCTGAGGGAATCAATTTCCCATCTTTCCTTCACTGCTCCCTGATAAATAAGATCGAGCACCATATTTGTACCATATTTATAAGTGTCTCAGGGAAGGAAATGAGACCAAATCTTAGCGTGCATGGTGCAAATGTGTTCCTAATTTTAGGGAGTTATTAAGGAGTTGTTATTAACTGTTGCAACTTGGGAAACTCATACCAATTCATTGAGGATTTAAGAGAGCTGTTGATCTGTACTGAAAGAATGCTGTAACAACATGTATGAGGTTCTGAGTGTGGTAACACACAAGAAAAGTGCAAAAAAAAAACCCAACTCAATTACTAATGGGAGCATTTTTAATCCTTATGACACTTAATGTGTGGTTCCAAGGACAAGGATGCATGACAAGATGTGTATGTGGATGAATGGTAAACTTTTGGTTGCCACAGTGGGATCTGGGGAGGACCAGAGGTTATTGAGAAGCTTCCAGCAAAATCCCCAGGATAATGGTATTTCACTCCCTAGACATTTTGCACAATCTATCCACCCAGTTTAGGTGCAAATATTGCAGTTATTCAATTTAATTTAAATAATATCTGACAGCAAATGACTCAGATTTGGTTAATTCAAAGAGTTAAAGTCTTAATAAATGGAGTTCTGTAGTCCCATTTGGAGCTCCCCACACATAGAGGTTAAAGAAAACTCCAGATTCACCAATGAAAAACAACATGACTTTACATATGACCAAACATACTCTGCCTGTAATTGAGCACATTTAAGGGCTTATGGTGAATCCATGAAAAGCTTTTAAATGTAAAACAGATGAGATCTCTTTCAGCTCCACTTTCTACTAATTCCACTGGAGAAATATTCACAATATAGACAAGATTATAGGTTTAATCGAAAAAATTACATACACCATCGATGACTGAAGGAAGATATTTGACAAGCTTTAATAATACAGTGCAACGTCGGGGCCCGTTTAGATAGCCTAGAAAACCAATTTGGACAGTATTGGGGGATTTTGAATTATTCAAAGACAGAACATATTGTTGTTGTCCTTGTAGAGCTCAATCAATAGGATAAATATAATGTAAGGATGTTGCATCCAATCACGTGGCTTAAAGAAATACTGTTAAGAAACGTTGTAGGCTACTGCACACGCCTATTGTTACTTCGCGCAAACTGAGATGAAATGTCTGCAGTGGAGATGATTTGTAATCAAAAAATAACATAGGCTAAAACACCCCACGCTTCTGTCACACGGGGACAAACTGAGAGTGGATTGCATCTGGTTTTACTACGTTTGACGGCGGCTGCCAGAAAGCATACAACTACTCCATAAATCAAACCGGTTGTAGCAATGCAAGGTTTTGTAAAATAAACCCAGGGCGTCATCCAAGACAGATGGAATGAACTATTTCAGGGGAGAGATTTGTCGAAAAAGAAAATAGATTAAACTATAATTTGCTTTAAACTGCCATTTAACAGCACAGCAGATGTTAGCAAAATCCCTGTGCAAGGCGGCTATTCAAAAATACTGATGGGTGAATCGTTATTGTCACAAGTAAATCCCCAAAAGACAAGACTTGGAGCTATTTAAGCTGCACCAGAGCAGGTCGAAGAAGCGGGACAGCAACAGACACTGTTAGTTTTTCTCTTACCTCCAACACACAGCAATGACATTTCTTAATTGCGCCTTTAGTACAGGGTCCAGCTTCTTCACGAGCTTCCGTAATTGAGCTAATCTGTGCAACACTGAGCCTGGGAATGAAACGTTGGGCTGGAGATGGAGAAGCCTGCCGTCGCTAGCAGAGACCGGGACCGGCAGGGCTCCTGATGCCAGATTAAAATGAAACTCTTCACACTTCGAGAGTGAACACCAGCGTTGCGATCCTCTTTGTCCCTTTTGTTTTTTTAAATGGCGTGTCTGTCTAAAATGAGACCCTTTTCTCCCTTTCTGTCTCAGCTCTCCGCTCCCCAACACACAGCCATCTTGTTCAGCTTCAGCACCACCGCTGCGTGGACAGCGCCTGGCAGTGACGTCAGAGATGGTGATTGTGGGGGGGTGGGGGGCGGTGCTGAAACACCCCATGATTATCCTCCCCCTCCATATTTCTCCGAACATATCTCAGAGAATTAGGAACTCCTCAATTGGTATCCTCGCATAATATCAAAAGTGTCATTGTGATAATTGATTTTGTCAGTGTTACCCAGCCCTACTTTTAAGGAAACACGAGTGGAAAGCAACTGGGCAATAATTACTTAGCAGTGAGTCAGTGAAAGGACATTCATCTTCACATGCAGGAGTGTCAGTTGTAAGGCAGGGGCTCTTCAGCAGAATTTCAACTGGAAGCTTCTGTGCAGCCTGGTGGCATACTGTCCTTGTGAATAATTATCATACATTGGCTGCTATCCCTTCTTGGGGTGCATGCACCAGCAATTCAGGAGTTTGAAAAGATTTTAAAATTTCACAGAGATGCTGGGACTTTCCTGTAAGAAGGTAATCATGACGCACACGAATAATGCAGGTGAGGTGATTTAGCTCAATGAAACTTAACAGGAAGCAGATGGACTGTTTCTGTGCCTAACTTTAAAGAATACAGAAATAGATAATTTGTCATTAGATGTTCATCTTTGTGCCTTGAATATCTCATTAGCAAAATCGGAGCCAGGCTCAGCCGTGTTGCATATTTACCAAAGTTCATCCCACCTTCATCCTTTCAGTTAAAGAAAAAACCTGCCAACAACCAGACTGATGAAACCTTAAACGCTCATCCAGAGTTAAGACCGTTTCCTGTGTGGGCCAACAGCTCCCCCTGCTGGATCACAACATCAGCTGCAACGTTACAGTATTGAGATGGGATATTTCAAATAATTAGGCGTGTTTGACAATGATTCAAATAATCAATAATGAACACATTCACCTTTTGCTGGAAACATTTTCAGTATGGTTTAATGAACATTTCAGAAAATACAAATATACTTCACAAATATATAATATTCTGACAACATGTCAAACTGCTTGTCCATTCAACAATCTGCCATTATCAACGTAAATTCCAACATTTTATTTTCACCCCTTCCAGTTTTTTTTTTCATGCATTCTAAATAACACTACATACACTTTCACCACCCCCCAAACGCCAAATGACATTTATTGTAAACTAATAATTAGATTTGTCTTATTGGGCAGGTCATGGCCCTGTAGGTAACTGCTGATTCTACACAATAGGATTAGGGTCAATCCAAATTTACTTAATTAAGGCAGATCAGAAGATAAAATTACATTACATTTAATGAAATTCCTGAACTGTAAAAAACCCTCAACACTGTCACAAAGATTTACATTCGCAAAAATACTCATGTGCATGAATACACATATTCTGCAGAATACACATATTCATTAAAAAGAGGCATGTAGATATGGACTGTGTGTGTGGTCTTTGGAAGTGTTCATACCCTTGCCTTTACTATCCTTGAGATATCCATATGCTCTGCTGAATGGCACTGACTTGACCTAATACCATCGAGCCTGTCATGTGTCCCTCTGATGCAGGAATTAAAGGGTCTCCAGCTTGAGTCTCCTCATAACTTCTCACTGACAATGAATTAAAGCACACAGTTAGGGAAAAAAAAGAAAAATATCAGGAATAACTATTATATATGGGCTACCAGAATTGAAAGTTGAGAATTACAAACGCATTCAAATGGAAAATCCTGTTGAACTAAGGTCAAATAATTATGTGGAGAATAATGAAGAATGAACATTTTCTAAAACTATTTGCTCCTTGTCAGGCAGTTCACCAAGCTTATCATCGCTGGCACCATGAACTTGCTGCAGACCTGACCATACACTTTGGCTTGATGCTACTCATGTATGGACTAACAAGTAAAACAATCGTCTGTGTAACGACTTGGAGGATTACCAACACTGCAATACACCTACATAACCAACAACCTAACATATAATAGTATTATATAGTAGTATACTAAGTAGATGATTAAGCTTTTCCAGATTCTCCACTTAGGGGGATAAAAGCATCTGATCAATGAAAAACAACGGCCCTTGACACTTGACGTTTGACCAATGAAGAAAAAAAAAAACATCTTATAAGGCTGCACCTGATTAGTGTGCACTGTTCACAGCACTGGACCTCAAACGTAAAGGCAATGGTCCTTATTCATGAACTAGAGAATTTGTGGCAACAAAATGTATGAGTGGTCCAGACCAGAGTGATCATAAAGGGATAGTCTGCTTTCCTTCACAGGAAAACACACGAATCTGACTTAAGCATTATAATGGCTTCATCTAATGAATTTGTAGTTTAAATATGGAATATTTAATTTGGCAAAGCAAAGTTCTCTCCCTGCAAGTGCTACATCAGGGTCTTCAAGCAGGTCATTGTCAAGTATTATCCTCAACTCTATGTCTGTCACAGTACAGCGCTGCTCTGATGGCACATTGTTGGCAGCTGTACTATTAATATTCTTCAACTCTTTTGGGTCCTAATACTACTAACACTTACACTGCCAACTGCAATTTCAGGGGCGTTTATTGCTGCTATCTTTTGAACGCACATCTCCTCATGAACAGGTGACATTCATCAGGCTGAAAAGAGCTATTTACAACAAGTTTCTATAGTTAAGAGAGTTTGGTGAATCTGACGCTCATATGAGCACCACGAAAACAAAAGTAAAATAAGTTTAGGATAAGAATATGAAGCCCAATATTTTAGCAACCACTCAATGATGATGAAACATTTAAACCCAGCACACAGAATTATACATGTTTAAAGTCTGGTTTAATCTTATGCTTTGATGGAGAAATGATGACTGTGTGTAGCTCCAATCTTATAATTAGGCAAGGTGAAGGGCAGTGGATTCATTAGAAGAAGAAGCAGAGTATCAGCGCACTGGATCTCCCAATCTTCTTTTTTAATGTTGCAACCCTACACCAGGTCGAGTCTGGGAGACATTAGTTACCTGTCAAAATGAGAGAGGACTTCGCAAAGCTGGGACAGCAGGGCACGATGCTTGTGGGGGTTTCCCTCCAGCACTCCACTGAGACGACTCAGGTAGGAGTCCAGGTTCCCAAGAGATGCGGTCTCACCTGTACCTGTTCAGAAAAGACACAGGTGGATTAAATCCACTCATTTTCTCAAGGTGAAACCTCATGGAATTTAAGCACTCATATGGCCATCCAATTTTTAGGAGTATTAATGAGTATTCACTGTTATTATAAGCCAGATATTAAAGACTCAAGTAGTCATTTAAAAATGATAACATTAAATCAATGCATTTATACTATAGGGCTAAATAAATAACATCTAGCATGTCTTCCCTCTTGCATTTTGCCTCTGACTAAATAAAGACTACTAACCTGGCAGGGGGACTGATGACAGACTGTTGACCAATGTGTGTTTAATTGCCAGCAAGTGTTGGTGAAGAGCCTGGGTACGCTTCTCGTCCAGCCCCAGTTCAGCCTCTAGGCGCTCTTTAGCATTGTACATGTCCTTAATGTGCCGCTGGAGCACTGCATTCTGCTCTTCAAACTCAATGTTAGCCTTACGAAGCCGTCGTAACTCAGCCTCTCGAGCTGAAACCACAGAGAGAGAAATAAAACGGGATTTGATGAGCATATAAGATAATGTCATGTTACATGATTTGTTTAATGTTCAATGGAACTTACTGTACAGTGTCAGGAAATATGTTAAAATATCCTGTTAGCTAACAAAGTAATTGCACAATTCTGCCATAGCTTTGGCACCCAGCCATATTAAACACGCTGGATTTGTGATACGTCAGAGTGATTATTTCCTGTTTTCAGTTCATCTGTTACCTTTGTTCTGATCAAGGAACTCCTCTGTGAAGATAGGGATGTCAAATCTGCTTGAGAGGTCAGAAGCCTAAAGGACATCATTTGAGAATAGACAACTTGGTTTAGTTTGAAATGTATGTGAAAATGGCATACAAACAGAACATACAGTGACACGGTATGGGTGAGTCATGTACCTTTGATAAAGAGGACTCTGAGGTAGTACTGATGATGACAGATGGAGTGTCTTCTGAAAGAGAAAAACATATGTGCTTATTACGGCTCATGTGGCACAGAGTAACGAGATAACAAATATACATTATCTTGCTATTTGCCCTGGTGATGTGGTGGTTATTCCTAAAAATACAAAAACAACACATGCATGAGTAACCAACATGACATATATTACGGCAGCTCTGTTGTCACCTTTCTTGATCCTCTTGTCTTGTATCTTGGCACTGGTGATCTGATAGGCCTCAGTCTGCTGATATTCCTTCAGTTCCTGGGCATACTGCATCTTCTCCCGTTCTGCCTCGTCCAGGTAACGCTGTCAGTGCACAAATAATGTTGTGCTGCTTTACTGAAGCCTAACAGACGAGTCCTTGATTATTTTTAACCTTTTTAAAGAGCTTTTTCTTTGGAAATAGATCATGTAGGAGATTTTAATTACAAAACTGTTTGCCAGCCTGCACATTTAACAACCATCGAGCCAAAAAACACCACTGATGTCAAATATCTTCTAAAAATCTAAATAAAACACCAGCAAAACTGAAATACAGTGATAACGCCTGCAATTCTATTCTTGACTGTGGTTTCTGTGTGCAATTGTGGATACTAGCCCAACTGGCCCAGCAATAAAGCATCATTACATACCCATCGCTCACAGTGTCATTCAACAAGTATGTAACATGTATACCTCCAAATGTGAAAAACTACCTGTTTGTCATTCTGGGCTAATCGTGTCCACTCTGCCCCAAGTCTCTTGGTAATTTCCGGGAATGGTAAGTCAGGGTATCGGGCCCGCATATGTTCTCGTCGTTCATTCAAGAAGCGGACATATCCAGTTACTGGTGCCTTGGGACCATTTGGTAGCACCTTCTTTCTTTTCTTTCCCTTCGGCCATCCTCTCTTCTTGGGCTGCAGAGAGGGGGAACAACACTATCGTGAAGTCAGGGCAACTCACTCATCTGTGCTCAGTAGACAACTACCATAACTACATACTGGGGTTGCGGCAAACAGTTATCTTGAATATTGAAAATATGCTGATTATTTTCTCTATTATTGGTTTGGTCAGTAAAATGTCAGCAAATAGGCAATAGGGAAAATTGCTTGTTTTGTCTGGAAGTCCAAAACCCAAAGATATTCAAATTTGCAGGGTTTTTCGTTTAAAGAATGGCTTAAACTATTAAATCAATAATTGAATTCCCTTCCCACTAATCTTATGTTGACCCACTAATAAACTAATTGTCCCAGCTCTATTACACTGTAATACAACATCCACATTATAAATCCTAGGTTCTACTGTTAGGTATTGTTCAAACAGTTACAGAGAGTTGTTAATTCTCATTTAGGAGGCTATCATTAATGATGCTGTTTAATTGTATTACGATAAAGTGGGAGGTAATTTTTCCAGTTAAGGTTAGTTTTCTGTTTTAATTTGTGGCACTGTCTATACTTGTTATTTTGTTTCTACTAGTCTACTCAACTGTTAACAGGGCATTGCCATAAAATAGCATGCCTCATCAAACATACCCTGTATAAATAAAAAGTTAAATACATTTCTGTTAATGTGTCCCCTCCTGAAACATTATGACCTTAATGAAGACATGATTTGTTGCCGGACTGTTGTATTAGTGCGAATTACTTTCAGCTACCTATTGAAATGGGGGCTAAACTGTTTAACTCCTTAACAAACTGGCCAATGAAATATTTTGACAGCCTTATTACTTCAACGAGGACTAAATTAAAGGAATTTATAAGTCATGTTGATGGGGCCGGTGAGATGTAGCAATACCCACCTCATCTTGTGGTTGATCTGCTGAATGTGAAGGTTTGGGCTGATGTGATGCATCACTCTGCTCTTGTTTGATCCCTCCCATGATATCCGTTCGTGCAACTGACTATGAAAGTGAGGAAATGAGTCTTAATCCGTTAGGGTTATGCCGTTGGAAGAAATCTGAGCAGAGTAATATGAGAGGAATTGTAATAAAGATGCGCACCATCGTACATTTTAGCATTACTGTCTGGACAGTAATGCTAACCTGACTGCTAGCTACCACACACAACCACAGCAAACAACGGACAAACGTTAGCTAAGCCGAACTGCTCACTCTTTACAAGGAAAATACAGGAAAATATATATTCGTGCATACAATCATGTTTATTCCCTCAGGACAATTGTAGCTGTAGTTTTATATTATACTATTTCTACTTTTTTTTTTAGATAAACGTTTTCTAACTCACCCGATAATGAGTCCCTCGGCCAAACAGGAAGAGAACCCTGTCTGTCATCTGATTGGTCGGTACCGAGAGTCATGATTGGTTGGTCCCTGACCCGCCTCTTAACCCAAAACCAGTATATGCCGCATTCGAAACAGTTACCATGGGCGAGTTGAATCTCAAAATGTTTTGCACCGGTTTGCAACATATTCAGATTGAACGACATGTTTCCTTGCAACGTTCTGCAATGGGCTTCGAGGTATGTTTTCTCCCGTTTGGTGGGCGTGTCTCAGGTGTTACCCAGTCAGGTTTGTAAACACAACGGTGTTAAGAAGGCAGGGAAATTCAGTGCGTTTACGTACACAACAGGGTGTTCAGGGAACCACTGTTTCCGTTGGAAAAAAACCGTTTTGCTACGTTTTGTCTGCGCTGAACTCGCCCCAGGTGTACCGGTGTTCTGACGATATATGCTGCCTTCTCGAAAAATGCTAACGTAGCGCAAATCGATAGCAGACACTATGGAATTGCTCTGCCCTATCGAAAAATGCTACCTTATGTGTTCCCTTTTCCAATCCCATAAAGTTATAACTCTCAGAGTATTATGAAATCTTCTGTTTTTTATTATATTATCTCATTATTTCAGGGGTAGCGTATTCTGTTAGACTAATATCCCCTATCAAATAATGCTCCCACAAGAATCCCACAGAATAATTTTATATTGCACCACTACTCACTCCATGTGTACTGAAAGGAGATGGGGAGCATGTTGAAAAACTATATTATGCCATCTTTATTTAAGATATCAGGGGTAGCGTATTGTGATTCTGACTAATAATGATTTTTTTGTTGTTGATATTGCTGATGATCAGCCACTGTCTCGATGGCATGCCCAACAGCAAGGTTGCACAATTATGGCCGTGGAAACAGACCACGCTTGTGTGTCATACACATGTGCAGACCGATGACTGTCTCATGGAGCCACTGAGAAGCCTCCGGGTCTTACTTTAACATTTGAAAATAATATAAAAACAACTAAACATTTTTGTGTGTGTGTCAGACAAATACTGAAATTCAAACAAAGCATAAATACAACTAAACATTTTCTTTGTTGTTACTGCTTACCCAAACTCTTGTAGCCATGAACTAGCTTAGCTTAGCACTAACAACCAGTGTTGGGCATGCTACTTGGAAAATGTAGTGAGCTAAGCTACCAGTTACTCCACATTAAAAAAAAGCTTCACTACACTGAAGCTACCCCCTAGAGAAATGTAGCCGTCCAACTACATGCCCACTGGACCCGATTCCTACGAATCTCCTCCAAGCCATATCTCCTACTGTGGTCTTGAGAATCACTCATGTGATAAATACTTCTCTGGCTTCAGGAACCTTCCCGACCACTTTCAAAAGGGCTCGGGATACACCCTTGCTCAAAAAGCCCTCACTTGACCCAACTCAAGTTAAGAACTATCGACCAGTGTCTCTTCTACCTTTTTTATCCAAAACTATTGAACGGGCAGTATTCAAACAGGTCTCTGAATTCCTCTCAGGGAATGACCTCCAAGATCCATATCAGTCTGGTTTTAAGAGTGCCCACTCTACTGAAACGACTCTTCTGTCTGTAACAGAAGCCCTAAGGTCAGCTAAAGCTGCAGCCCAATCCTCGGTTCTTATCCTGCTTGACCTATCAGCTGCCTTTGACACAGTCAACCACAGGATCCTGCTATCCGCTCTCTCAGCAATCTCGAGTAAAGCACTCCTGTGGTTCGAATCCTACCTCTCGGGGCGTTCCTACAATGTTTTGTGGCAAGGACAATTATCCTCCTCCCACTGCCTCTCCACAGGGGTGCCCCAAGGCTCAGTGCTTGGGCCCCTTCTCTCCTCAATTTACACCACCTCACTGGGGCCAATCATTCGCTCGCACGGCTTCTCTTACCACTGCTACGCAGACGACACGCAACTCTACCTATCCTTCCCGCCAGGCGATCCCACTGTCTCGGCGCGGATCAGGGACTCAGGGACTGTCTATCAGACATATCTGCATGGATGAAGGCTTGCCACCTTCAACTAAACATCTCTAAGACTGAACTCTTGGTCATTCCAGCCAAGCAATCTATCCACCATAACATCAAACTAGAAATTGACTCCGCAACCATCACTCCAACCAAGGTGGTGAAAAACTTGGGTGTCATGATTGATGACCAGCTGTCCTTTTCAGACCATGTTGCTACTGTCTCTCAGTCATGCCGCTTTTCTCTATACAACACAAGGAAAATCAGGCCCTACCTCACTCAGTACGCCACCCAGCTTCTGGTACAGGCCATGATTATCTCTCGCATCGACTATTGCAATGCCCTCCTAGCAGCTCTCCCAGCTTGTGCGGTGAAACTCTTACAAATGGTTCAGAACGCAGCAGCGCGTCTGGTTTTTGGTCAACCTAAAAGGACTCATGTCACTCCATTACTCAGTGACCTCCACTGGCTCCCCGTGGCCTCCAGAATCAAATTCAAGTCACTAATGCTTGCATACAGAGTGACTACTGGGTCTGCACCCATCTACCTAAACTCCATAATACAAACTTACGTTCCTTCTCGGCCGCTACGCTCCTCCAACGAACGCCGCCTGGCTCTGCCATCCCTTCACACAAAGCAATCCCAGTCCCGGCTATTCTCATCTGTGACACCATGATGGTGGAACGAGCTACCACACGCCATCGGAGCAGGGGCGTCCCTCTCTAACTTCAAGAAGCTCTTGAAAACTCATCTCTTCCGAGAACACTTCCTCTTATAACACCTCTAACTCCTAACCTCTAACATGCACTTCCTGTGCTCTTCTTCTTCTATCCCCTACAATGATCTTGTATTGATTGCACTTTTTGTTAACTCTTACTTCCTTCCCTAGGTATCTACCCCATTGATGTGGTATGTACTGTGAGCTCTTACTAGTATTTATTGCTGCTCTTACTAGTATGAATTGTCAGTTGTAGATTTGTAGTTGATGCTCTGTTGATGCTTGTATGTTGTTCCTCAAATGTAAGTCGCTTTGGATAAAAGCGTCTGCCAAATGAGTAAATGTAAATGTCCTCTAAATAATATCTAAATAACCATCCAACCACCCAAGTAACCATCAACCCCAGTCAGCAGTGGATCCACACTAGCAGATGACATGGTACCCCAAATATCATCACTGAATGTAAACATTTCACACTGGGCTTAAAGCAACTTTGTGCCTCTGTGCGTCTCCCCTTCTCCTCCAGACTCTGGGACCTTGATTTCCAAATGAAATGCAAAATTTACTTTCATATGAAAAGAGGACTCTCTTTTTCTTCGCTTTCGACATTGTCTCTGGTTCAGGAGTGGCTTGACACTAGCAGCTCATTTCCTGGACACACCTGTGCCTGGTGGCTCTTGATTCTCTGACTCCAACCGCAGTCTACACCTTATGAAGCCCTTTCAGCAACGACCTTCTGCGGCTTACCCTCCTTGTTGAGGATGTCAGTGAGTGTCTTCTGGGCAACTGTATAGTTACAGGTCTTCCCCATGATTATGGTTGTGTGTACTGAACCGGACAGAGATTAAAGACTCTTCTCAGGTCGACATTTCTGTATTTTACATTCTTTATTATAAAATTTCAATATGGATTTTTTGTTTACATGAGCTGAAAGCCATAATCATCAAGATTAAAACATATGAATTAAATTACAGAAAAAATAAAATTTTCCTGCTAATTTTCTGAGATACACCTGTAGCCCAATAATTGCAATGGTAATCTTTATTTATTAGAACTGCTACTATGCAAAATGCAAATTTTATGTAGTTCTATTATTTTACCAGATGTGGACATTAAAATCACTTACTGGCTGTCCAGTTTACTGAAGTAATTTGATCAAGAGTGGATATTTCATATCACTGTTGGTGGGGACAATAAGAACACCTTCCAGCAGGAGATTTTTAGTTATAGAGTTGATGAGGGTCTGAAAAAGGCAGACAGCAGACCAAACCACTCAGAGGTACTGTATGTAAGACGGGGAAGACATAATCTTTCCAAACTTTTAAAATGCATTGGACAGAAGAGATGTTAAACTGTTGTGTACCATACTTAGTCACTGAAGGACAACGGTGGTTGTATTAAACAGTTTTGATTAAAATTATTGCTGGGGACAATTCATCCCTACGAAATTACACGCTTGTGAATAAATTAATTTAAAAATATTCCAGCACTTTATCATCCATAAAAGACATTCAAGTCTAGTAAGTCATAAATGAGTGGACTATGCAGAGTACAACCCTTTAAGATTGAAGTCATGGTCCGTGTTTGGCATGCACTCGTATGAGCAGCAACTACAAGAAAAAAAAAAGTTTACATGCAACTGTATGAAAACTAGCAGCTAGCTGATTTGATTACCTCTCCACTGTGAAACATGAGCCTGGCCATTAAAAAAACAAACAAACCCATAACTGTACACAACATGTTTTGGTATTGTAAAAGGTAACATATTGCATAAGTCCTGTCCCATCATGGGCCCTTTCAGGCTCTGCCACTCACTCACCAGGTGATGTCAACCAGGTGTGTGAGGGTTTGAGTGGAGATGGGGCCATACCTAAGTGAACAAAATCTGATCTGCTGTTCTGGACTTAAAAAGGTTTCCACATTTCAGTGTTAATCGATAGAGTTCAGGGTTTCAGTCACTTGGTTGAACCTGCTAAAACAGGCCCGTGGACTGCTTCATCTTGTCCATCTTTACACAGCCTACAGTGAAAAGAAATACTGGACTTTATTTCCATGACATTAAATATTTAAATACAAAGTAAACTTAAAACCACAGCCACACACAGTTTTAATATGCTTTAGGAAAAACCTCACTATTCTCTAGTATGCAGTACATCATTGGACCCACCATAAACATGTAATGTTTACAGTAAACAATTTTGAGATTCATTCTTTGAAAACAGTGTAGCAACATTAGAATTAGCTGTACAATAGGCCAAAAAGTCAGACTGTTATAGTTTAAGGCTCCAACAGGTTTCCTTGAATTTGGCCTATTTACACCTTTACTCTTTGAATTGTAGCCACCATAGATTCTAAAGAAGGGGGGGGGGCCCACCCTAACAGCTTCCACACGGTTTCTACAAAAACCACCACACAGAAACCACAGCAC